TGGAAGTGTCTTTTCCCTTATGTTCCTCTCTGTGAGCCCAACTGAGGCTCTCACTTTACTCAAATGAACTTGCCTCTCCCTAGCGTTTTCCTGGTCATCACCCAAAGGGACCAGCAGATCTCCCATATGTAGCCTTACACTAGACAATGCCTTGCTTTGTGCTCAGCAGCACTAGTGTTTGCAAAAGAAAAGAACATGGGCCAGTATTCCCTTCATATCATATACATAGATCATATCAAGGATCACAACATAACAGAAAATTGCCCCTCCACACCCAATATATATAGGAACATCCCAAGCGACTCTCACACTTTGTTTCCAAAGCGCACTGGGGATTCTAGGTGTTTTTACGATCAGAGTACATCAGCCACAGCCTCAAAAACTAGGCATCTTCTGGTAAACGACAGCCTGCCTGCCTCTAAGAGATGTCCTGATGTGAAACACCCAACAGGAGGATTGCGTGGTTCCACAGCTGCTGCTGTCATCTTCTGTTCTTCCTTCCATCTGTCCATCTCCCTAGGGGGAGGCAGTCCAGGTTACACTGCCACAAAATTCAGCCTACAAAGAAAGAATTTATGCTCCCATTTTAGGCCCTCTCCCCATGAGGAATGGACGCACCCTCTGTCGCATGATTAGGATGCCAGATGCTCTTCTCTCATCAACAGAAGGGCTCTGTGAGCAGGACTGTACTGTAATCCATTATTTCATAGTTGAATCAAGACTTAACAGTATATCTTCCGCCACCTGTAAAGGATATAAATTAATTTACGGGGAGAGGTACAAAAGGTTGTAGTTTGATGAGCTGGCAGGGCCTGTAATAGACTGGATATTGCAGAATGCGGGCCTGAGCGCATGTCCAGAGCTTCAATTCCTTGTCCGCAACAGATTCCTCCAGAGAAGAAACACTACTTATTAACCAGATGTTAGGCTCAGGCCATAACACAGTGGTAAGCTCAGCACCTGTGATCTTGCAGCTGGCAGGACTCATCTGTGTTTCCGAGGGCCCCTTCCGGGAATGAGACAGGCCCAGCTGGGAGAGATTCCAGGGGAACGCAGAGCCTGAGCATGCTGGTGTGCGCTAGCCACCATACGGCCCGGACATGAATTTTGGATATCGTTCTGATGGAGGTCACGGTAGGAAAGAATGGGGTGATGAGATTGTTTCAAAGACCGCGATGAAGACCTACTGGTAAGGGATCACCCTCCCCGCCCTTCCCTCACTCCCTCCCCTGGGCAACGAGGTGACCGAGGGACCTAACATCACCCAAGATAGCAGCAAGTGAGTGTCCTTGCTCGTGCTCAGGAAGAAGTTGCACTCCCTCCTGCATCTGAAAATCCCGACACAACAACAGACTAAGAACCCTGATCTAGAGCTCTGGAGGACTAGCATAAAAATGATCCACAACTTTCATGCCAACAGGAGGGGCACTAAAAGAGCCACACAGGCTTCTCAGGAGACATTTGATCTGAGCAACCCCTTTTCTGATCTTTACTTGACAATATTAGAACTAGTGCTTAACACTTTTGTGCTGAAGCCCAACTATCTTCTCAAAAAGCTTCTTCAGCTCGCTAGGGTGTTCCGTTTTCAGCTGATGTACAGCCATTGGCTGAATAATCCCATTATCCAGGGTCAAGAACAAGAACCCAGTGCTATCATTAAGAAGCAGCTAATATTTTGATCTGAAAAAACTCTCTCTCAAATAGCTAAGAAAAAAAGGGAACTATGTAAATCAGTGCCTTTTTGATAATTGGTTTTGCAATTTTTACAGCAGTAATCTCTCTAGTCTTCAGAAAAAAAACATTTTATATGGTAAGATCTTTTTTCTGAACTGTAGCACAGAGGAATCGAGTTAGCAATTGGGATCCAAACTACCATCAATGAAGTTGTAACAGGTTGGGCTGAAAGTAGGACTGTGGAGTTTGCTGCTAGAAATAGTCAGAGTGGTCTTGAAATTACTTATACGTAATACTATGACAGTGACATAAGCAGACATACTTACCTCTGGATTTATAATGAAGTTGGACAACTCTTCTCTGTTCAGATGCAGTTAAGTGCATTATACAGGGAGAACTAAATGACTTTGACTAAAAAATTGCTAAAAAGAAGTAGCACAGAAATTGCTTTGTCATACACAAAGCAAAAAAATCTTCCATTGTTTGCAGCTCATAAGTGGGAAGTGGAAGAAGAGGAAAAAACCCTGCGTTTCATGACTTCAGATACAAGCTTATCAATTTGAAATAGTCCTGAGATAAATATAATCATAGGCTAGATAAGGTAAGACATTTCTAGAAGGAGTGCCTTTACAAGGACACTGGTGAGATTTCATGCAGAGGGCTGTGTAAAACTCTGGCCACTGGCTTAAAAAATAAAGGTGAGGGAGAGGTAAAAAAAAATACTACAGGTTCCCAAGTTTTAACCAATTTAAACTTGGTCAGAAGGTTCAGAAACAGAAAATCTATCCTAGAGAGAAATGTATTGGGAAGTCCACATAGCATTGCACTGCCTTCCAGATCCACTTGAATGAGCTGGAAGATGCACATATTATTTGAACAGATACCAGCTTGGGTTCATGAAGTTTTCTCTGAATCAACACAGCACAGTGCTCTGCTGTAGGTAATTAGGCCTGCAATACTGCCTCCATTTCCAAAGCTAACTCATTTACAAATTGCTTGAGGCAAGTTTCTGCACAGTATTGCATTACGCTAAAGCAGCTTAGGGTAAGAACTTTGTTGAAGTAGAAAGTGAGAAGGTATACAGGAAGGTACGACTGGAATGCTCTTGGGTATGAGATCACGTCATATAATCTCTTGAGAAACAAATTAAACTCCATTCACCCAACTCCCCCATAATTCACCCCATTTAACTTAAAGTGCAATATATATTACCCAGTGATCAACAGCACATGAAAACTAGGAAGTACCGAGAAATCACTGCACTTCTAGAGTCTAGCCTGCCCCAGAGCTTAACAACAGTACTGAGAACAAAGTCAACCTAATATTAAGGTAGGACTTACTACTACTACAAAAAGAGTCTGCGTGATGAAGGTGCCCACGTTTATAGGGTGCTGGGTACAATGATGTCCCCTCCAGTTCAACAGAGACTTCAGTTCCACACCAGACAGGCAGTATGGGCTCTAGGCACCAGCTCACTCCAGTACTGTTGACAAGAAGTGTAATTTGATACAGTAAGAAATTATTAGAAATGAAGGTTATGGCACAGGCAGCCCACAACCTGAATGAGGCCCTAGAACATGCTATACCTAGATTTTCATTCAAAGTTTTTTGATGGGCAACATCATACAATATGAGCATTCAGACAAGACTGAGACACTTATCATGAAATATATGATATTATATAAAGGAGTGGCCCAGAACTATTATCGTCAATCATTGTTTCAGTTACTGAATGTTTGAAATCCTCTAGATAGCAATCATCAATAACAGGCTGAAGTTTAGTTAGGTGATAAACTTTGGAAGTAGGCCCAACTACAGGCAAATAGCAAACAAAATGCATGGAAGGGACACATGCACATCTGCTACATTACTTAAGAAAACATTAGAGACCAAATCAATCGATAATCCATTACGTGGAGGCCTTGGGAAAGAGAGAAAATAAATTATTAGAGAGAAAAGAAAGATCAAATAAACAAAAGACAGCCTGGGGGGAAATTGGCTCATTTATAGTGAGAAGTATGTATCTAAGTCTTCTCAGGCTGGAATAGAATTGAAACAGAGAATACACAGAAAATAGATTGACAGAACTTGGAGATAAAGACATGACTTATGGCCGGGGGGGGGGGGGGGAAAAAAAAGAAAATCCTAAACTTGTTATGCACACAATATCTAGGTCAAACTAAGGATGTCTTCTGATCTTAAGATTTGCATCTCCATGAAAGACAAGCTGAATGAGCAGAGCGAGCAGCTTAGAACAGTAAATCAAAACACTGAAGAGGAGGAGGGGAGGATGGAAAACACTCTACACAAGTAAAAGCGGAACATAAAACACAAATGCAGATCAGAGCCAGTGGAGAAAGTAAGGAAGAATACAAATAGAAGATGGAGGGGGCAAAATCAAAAATCACAAGGGAAAAATACATACAGTTGAATAGAGAAAAAATCTTCTCGAGACAGACAGAAATAAAAAGCATACAACGGAAGAAACAATCTCAACATTCAAATCGGTACCAAGTGACTTATGTAACATAAGGAAGCTGGTGTTTCTGTGGAAAACACTGGAATATATATTGTCTGCAGACCATGGAAGAGGAGAATCCGCCTGGTTTAAAAAACAAAAAAGTCCCACCCAAGGAAACAAAACAACCCTAAATAAATGAGATGCTTTTTTTTTTTTTTTTTTTTAAAATATATAGGAGATTTCTGTTGAGGTATTATTACCAACCCTGAATATTTTAATCAGGTGCCTGGAAAATCATGAGATCAAGGAAAAAAAAAGTGTGTCCTTTGCCTTGTGTCTTCGAGCTTAAGTTTCCAAATTCATCCCTGCAATAAGGACAGCTACAAAGTTATAAAAGATAAGTAAAACTGTGCAATCCCAGCAACACTGAGGTAATATCAAGTGCAACTTGTATGACTTGCAAGAAAATCCAGGTGGAAACATCTTAACCATACTCTCATTAGTATTAAAAACATTATTTACTGTCTATATGAAAATTTTTATGTGATAGTAAAGTGACATCAGATTGTACAGTATTCTACAATTATGGGACTGTTGTGACCATGTCAGGACTTGCACGACTGTTTTGAAAGATGGATAAGATCTTCTGTTGAGCGAATACATAACAATAGCGATTTGTCTTTTCCACTGGCATTTGCACATACTGGTATGACAACACACCAGTCATCTAGTCAATGACACTCCTAAACTAAAGTGCAAGTTTCTTTTCAGGTAGAGATTTCCAATTAAGATCTGTTCTGCAATGCTTATATACCTGCTACCTTGCATCTTCTTCCTCCAGAACAGCCTGAAAAGAAAGTCTTACCTGGCAGTTGAGGCAGTAAGCCAAGTTTTCAGCTGTTTTCAAGAGCTCTTCCATTTTGGATCCTTTCTTGAATTCTTTGAGCCATCTTGCACTCCGTCTGAAATACCAGGTCAGGCCACTGTCTTTTTTGTCATTGCTCTTCATTTCTGTGGCTTTTGCCATGGGAGATGTGTTACTTGGTCTTACATAGGTTTTAGGATAAAGCACTTCAATCCATTTCAAACTTGATTTGCAGATTGTTTCTTTGCTTTTCGAGTCTCCCTGCTAGCTACTGAAATGCTTTGGAAGAGTTTTCATTCCCCCTCCTGCCCTCCTAACGTATCTTATGTTGTATTTATTACATCCAATGCTCTCAGAGGATTAATCTTTCCCCCTGTCAAATACCACTCTTTGTTAGTCATCATTACAACTGAACAGTGGGTAAACAACAGTGAAGAGGCAATCGGTTAGAGTCATATGTTTTATTGCCAGGTAGCATGTAGGCACGCATAGTAAAAGTTGGTATAGATAACAAAATAGAACAAACAAAAACCCCAAAACAAAACAAAAAACAAAACAAAGGTAAATTGCTATTCAGATCCTCTACTCTTCTGTATTTTTGAATCTCAAGAAGGTAGCAGATAATCCTTATTCTCTATTTCCTGGGGAGTCCCTCTTCACTTGCTCCATTCCCCTTACAACATTCATTTAATATCACTTAAAATCCAATAAATCACACCTGATAGTTCAAAATTTGAGGAAGAGGACACTCCCCCAACCTTCAAATCCTTATTGTCTGATACCACACCAGTCTTCCAACTTTTGAATACCTTTACAAAGCTTGCACACAATTCCAAAGCCAGAACTTTCAACTTATATTTATTACAGATTTATACAGAAAGTCATTTTACATCAATAAACTTGAAAAAAAATAAGTTAAATATAAAGCTTTCAACAAATAAGTGTTTCAGAACACTTATTTTGCTTATCTCATTATGTGGCAAATATTGTACAAAACTGCCACAGAAACAGTGATATTCAAATCAACTTTTACATCTTACACAACTTCAGGTTAAACTCTGTACCTGAAGCACTGAATATTCAGAGCACTTTAAATGCACTAAACAATGTAACTATGTAATAGCACAGCCCAAACGTCAAATATCGATTTTATACACAAGTTTCAAAGCGCTTCATAAAGTTGCATAAACTCCAATTGATGTCACACAATTTACTTCAAAAGATACTTATTGCAGAGTACTTATACAGAGTAAGTTACAGTAAACAATACTGTTCTGAGGGCTATGCAAATTAACTAGCAAATTGAAGATTAAGTCAATTGATTAGTTCCTGCGATGTCAACAGAATTTTTTGCCATTGATTTCACTGATGCAAAGATTTATCTACCCTTTTTTTATTAGATAAAAGGTGTGAAGGCCCAGCTCAGAGACTTGCAAAATAGCAATCTGGAAAATATTTTCATGAGGCACACACGCAGTATGGCAATGAACTAGTTATCGCAGATTTCAAAACTACAGCCTTTAGTACTATTCCATATGAGAGTCACAGACAGGTTGCAGCAAAAGCAAACCAGAACAGAGAGGAGAGCATCACTGTCAAACTTAGCTGGGTTTCTTTTTAGGGCTATGTAACTATGTTTTGAGAAGAGAGACATCAGTGCCTTTTTTTCTCCCCCTCTTTTTTTTTGGGGGGGTGGGGGTGGGGGGGGGGAGAGGTATTACTTCTTCCCTGGCTAGATGTATGCCATAATGCTTTTAACCAAGTTATTAAGATACATTTCAAACTAAATGTTCCTGTTCATGTGACTTGCTTCAAAACTACAGAGAGGCTCCAACAGCCATAATTTAAAGATGCATAACATGCACATCTGTGAACAAGTTTTAACATGTTTAGTTGAGGTATTTAGTGATGAACATTATGACTTCTCAGTATAAACAGATTCAGCATGATTATTAGTCTCATCTCGATAAGCTGAAGATCATCTGGGTTTTATAATTAGAAAACAGTAGCAGAATACTTGAACATCTGCTGAAGTGCACCTCATCAGGCTCACATTTTTATGTTAAAGCTATAATTTGTTAATAACAACTCCAAACAGGAGAGCTGAATATAATGTTATTAAAACCTTACAAGATTTACATTTCAGAACAAGAGGTGCAAATGCGCTATTTTCATGTGAAAGTGTGCGAAGATTTAATAGGCTTTAGCTCCATTCTAATTAATATCAATTAAGTCATTTCAGTTTTCTTTAATGTTAGGAATACCTAGAGTACACCAATAGGGTTAGACGCAAGCATAGGGAAGCTTACTTTACCTACAGCCCTGAGCGGGTCAGACACGTGCAAACTCCTCTCCAGAACCTACATTAGAAGAATAACTATGTACATTCTCCCTAAAAGGTGTTACTAGCTTGAGAACACTGCTAAATTAACAGCTCTTGAGTTTCTAAACGAGAACCGTCTTTTGGCCACAGCAAGGTTGCACTCGTCTGAAGGCTTTGGGATAGATACACTCCTCACAATAAAAGGACTGAAGAAATACATTCCTGACAAGATGTTGAGCAACTTGCTTCTTCAGCTGTACTTGGCAAAGCAGTACCTTGTTGGATCAAACATTAATTTGCTTAAGAAATTCAAGGCCTTATAAGCTATGTTTATGTATGTTTCATTTCTGTTCACAAAATGTAAAACAAAAAAGTAAAAACAATTTAAACCAGCACATGCAAGTTAAAAGTCTGAACAGTCTTTGGCATTGGGACTTCTTTTCATAACTGTTCTTCTAAGTGAAGGATGTGCATTTCAAACATTTAGAAGTGTGTAAGACTGCATATTTTTTAACTGAACTAATAAGCACATGCAAAAATAGGAAATAACAGCATGCATTTTCATTTTGAAAACTTTTTTGGGGGGGGCAGATGTGGTCTGAGAGTTTGCTGCTCACTCTTACATGTTTCACAATCTGTTTAGGATGAAACGTAATCAAAGAACACTTCACATTTTCATATTTAGGCTCAGAGTTTCGTGATCATTTTAAGCGAGTCTAAGCATGGACCACTGACTTCTATTTTCTTGGCAACACTCCTCACACTGCAGCTGAGTGAGGCGGCCGAAAACTAAATCAACAACAGAAGACTAATCTTCTGCCAGATCTGTTTCTCCATTGTGCTAAGCCCTGTTCAGCAGCAGCTGCCTCTGGTGCAGTACAGGGGAATCACCACTAATGGTGGATGCAGCCATAAGAAACAAGCAGCAGCAAAACAGTGTCAGGGTTAAGAAAGACAGTAATTCAAAGAACCACCACCTCAACTGAAGAGACATCACTCAGTCAGAGTTGTGCCAATTTATTAATCTCCTTTCCCAAAGAGCTCCTCACCTACCACAAAACAACTTGAAACAATTCACCATCTATAAGAGTGTTTTGGTAACCATTACGCTGTTTAAACCACTAGCCCATTGCTTATGGCATTTCCCATGCAACACAGATCTTCCATAGCCAAAGATTTAAGATAGATGATCTTACAAATTTTACAGACGTTGTTCCAAACTCAAATCATAGTTAAACCAAACTTCACACAATAAATTACCCTAAACTTGCACAGTACAGAAAAAACTATAAACCCCCCAAAAATCATGCAAAACAAATCAGAAGGCCGTTAAGCTAACATTTCTAAATACAAATTAAACTGAGTAGTACTCAAATAGGTAAAGTCTGATCTTGTTCAAGGTCTTGATTAACAAAGTATTTGCATATTAATCATTTTGTGTTTTTTTTTAAATGTCAAATTTGAGATAAAGAAAACAAGTCTTAATTCCCAACCTTCCCCAAATTCTGGTCCTTCAGATACCAAAGGAAGTTTGAGCTCTTACCTGGCCTTTCCCAGTTCTTACAGAGTAAATATTAATATTTAGACATCCAAAAAATTTTGTATATCCTTCTGCATAAGAAGAACTCAAATTCCCCAAATTACCATATTAACATGAAAGTGAATAAAACAGGAAAACACCTTAAGAATTTTTACACTAGTGTTTTTAACATAGATATTTCTGGTCTAGTGGTCCATTTTAAATTGTGTGAGACCTCTCAAAGTAAATCTTTGAGATTTATCGCTGTTCTTACTAACCGAAAGAATCTTTTTGATTACCAGTTCTCTCGCTAGAAAGGCATCAGTGGAAATTCATATCATTCTTATAGCACATTAGGTAAAAAATTGCACCAAACCCAGCTTTAAACAGCTTCCATACTGCTAGGTGTTATGCAGTTATGCAAACTGGAAAATTGTATAACTTTTTAAAGTATCATAATCAATCTAACTTTAGATGCATGTTAAAATCTTGTAATATAATGACAACTAATCATCTGACAGACAACCAAGAAGTGCCTTGCACAATAAATCAGCATCTTCACCTTCTCTAAATTTCAGTTCTCCATAAATCACTTCAGTCTTGGACATCAAAGTAATCAATTACTGGCTCTTCTTTTAATGGTTTTGATAAACCACTGTTTCCAATACTCCTGAAATTAAAAGAACAATAGATGTTACTTACCTGCATGAAAAATAAGATACACAATAAATCAACACAACTCCCATAATATCTCAGTGTGCACATGCACACTGCATTGGTAGATGGCATGCATTACTAAATTATGTTTTAATGAAAATATCTTAGCGCTCAAAAAAGCAACCACCTTTCTTTCTTTATTTCCCAAAATAACAGGTAATAAGTAAATATATTAAATTAATATGCATAATGCATGTAGCTGAATTGATAATTTTATTTTTTGCCTTACCAGGAAATAACCATTTACTGGTAATATTTATTGTGCAAGCAATAACATGCTGAAGACTAGATGTTCAAATGCCATCCTTTTTAAAAGGAGGAGCAAAAGAAATACTGAAGTGAGTCACTGGTCAAACCTGCTCACTTTTAAAAGCAAAAGTTACGGGAAGAAAAAAAAAAATCTATGGTAATACTAAATCCAATATTGTAAAGATTTTTGTCACAAGACAGTATCAGGTCTTCCAAAATATTTTCTAGAAGTAAACACTCCCAAAGAAACTTCTCTTCCAGTAATTAAAATTAATTGGCTAAAAAAACAGTTTACAACTTTGCCATGTGATCCCCTTTCAGTAGGGGCACTGAACACCCACAGTAGGGGCACAGGAATCCCACAGAGGTAAATGAAAATAAAGGGTAGCAACCTGTTTGAAAAAGAAAATCAGGTTGAGTTACACAGTAAGCAATCATTTAACACATTGTGTTTTACTCTAAATGCTTAGTTCTAAAACAGTTAAATTTTTTCCAAAATTGCCTATTTTGTATTCCAACAGCATCTAAAACACCCCATACCTACTGCAATAGTTGGAACAAAATTAAGCTGTCCCTTCCTCCAAATGACAGCTGTCCCTTCCCTCTTCCTAACACGACATTCTTTCAAAAGCTAATTTGGAAATAACTGGGGGGGGTAGGGAGTGGAGAGGGGAAAAAAAAAAGTTTTGAAAGCTAAAAACAAACAAAGCTTAAACGATCCTTTTCAAGATTTCATTACTACGAGATGACTACAGGTACCTGAAGCTGGCAGGTCATAAAAAGTAAAGACTGTTCTATTAGACTATTCAGCCAAGAAGCTTTATATATCCCATCTTCAGTAGTTTTCAGTATCTGAGAAAAATGTAGTTCACCTTTAGCCAACTGTGTAGTGATATCTACACAAGAGAAATAAATTTACGAACTGTCCAAATAAGTCATTTTATGCCAGTAAAATATTACTCATTTTCTTTTAATCAGTTAAAGATTGGAGAGGAAAAAAAAAAAAAAAAAAAACATCCCCCAAACCCTCATCTTCCCCCCCAACTGTCTAACCTTTATTAAAAAAGGAAAAAAGAAAAAGTTCACAATATTTGTAATATTACTGGTCTTATATGACATACTTGATCTTACATTTTGTTAGTACTTCATTTCAATTTTACTTCTGTGAAAAGAAAATCTCAGTGCAGGCTGCAAGCTCCAAAGCCATGTGTGGGCTGAGAAATTCAAGAAAGGGTGAACTCTGAACAGTTCCTCCGTGAACTCAGCACTAAATAAAGAGCATCATTTAAAAAACAAGTTCCTTACTTATCTGTTTGTTTGTAGTGAGGAATAGGAGGTGGAGGCCTGCTTTGCATTTCTTTATCTAGCACAGAAGTTAAGGTATTGCTTGGACAAACAGACTTCCCTCTAGAGAAAGAGAGCAAAAGGTTATTTTGTTTACATGATCAACTGGAAATTATATTCGTTAAGTAGCAATGGCAAAGAAACTACAAGTAGTGCTCCTGGTACCCATGCTCCTATGTGTATATTTAAACCATCTATACAGATATTTAGCTTTCCAACTATGAACAAAGACCAAATGATGCGCAAATTCAATTTTTATTATTGAGAGTAAGATATCCACTATTCTGAATGGCTCTTGGTTAGTATGTCTATAAAAGATGCAGAAGCAGCTCACTACCTTTGAGTGGTGGTGCCCAGACTGCTTTCTCCATGTGAACCTATGAAGCGCCAACATGATCAATTGTTAAAAACACAGAAGTGGAACACTTATGTTCTAGGGTAACTTATATCTGTGCTTTCACAGAACAGATTGTATAGTTGTTCTTTCACAGAACTGATATATGATCAGAAGCAGCAATTGTAATGGTTTAACCTGACCTCCTGTGAGCACAGTTTACTCCGTCTTTGCAAGATGATGTCTAATGCTTTGGAACCATGCTCTCAAACTCTGGCAGCAAATCAAACAGGAGTCTGCACTCCAAGGAGGTCTGGCTAAGCAGCGCTCTCGGGAACAACGCAGCAACAATGCCTCTTCCTTGTCAACTAGCCCAGGTACACAAGATCTGAAAATCACACGAGGCATTAGCAAAAAAATCCGCTCTCCCTGCCCTCCACGTCAGTTACATTCTATTATATGACCATGGAGGGCACCACAATGAAGCACCCCAGTCATGACTGCCTTCTCTGCAGTGCAAGGGCCACCCTCTAGCTATTGCAAAAAGGCACCTAATCAAAAAATTGTCCAATAAGCACCAAACATGCTATATCTCTAACAGGCCATGGAGATGTCTTAATGTTTCCTGAAATTTGTGAGAGGTATTTCAAGAATAATTTTTTCTTATTTCAACTTCAGCCACTGTTACGATTTAATTGCAAGACGGAAAAAACTGCCACTGTTAACATCTTTCCATCTGCAGAATCTTTTTAATCTGTTTTTGGGTGTAATAAACTGAATAAATTAACACATCCTTAAACCTTGTTAATGGTCAATTTCTTACCCTGCTTGGAACTCCCCCTAATCCTATGGCATTGATATTTTAAGACCAAAATGGAATCCTGTTGTAGCAGGATCTGAGTAATTCTGTGTACACTAAACTGGATTGCTTTCCTATTTCTATCTGAATGCCTCCTTTTCTAAGGAATACTTCATTGCTTTTCTAAGAAATAGATTATTGTTCTGCAAAATATAACCTGCACATATCATTTGTTAGCTAGCTATTTTTTTTTAGATAAAGAATAAATTAGATGGGCCCCCCTTTCTTGGGGGAAAAAAGAAAAAAAAAATTCAAGACTGTAGCAAAGCTACCAGCCCATAAACAGGCTCATGAGCAGCTCATGGCACTCTAGCAGCAGGGAAGGCATCCATTTCTTATAACTACAGGCAAGATCCACAGCTAAAGCAACTGGCTGTCAAAGACCATAATTTGACAGTGCTAAACTAAATCTAACAACATTAAACTAAGCTGCTCTTTGAGCAGAAGAATCAAGGAAGCCTGATTTTCCCATTGACATCTAGTCTATGTCTCTCTAGTGCAATAACCTTACTTTTCCCCTAACTATATTCCTTTCATTTCCTCTTCTATTATGAGCTCTCTTCCATGGCTCCTCTCCAAGCATCTGCAGTTCTGCTCAGAGATCCCTTAAATTTGCAGTAATTCCATCTTTCTCTTTGTCCATTAACTAAGGAATATATTCTGTGGAAGGTTCAGAAAGAGGAAGAACAAATAAGTTTCAGTAACAGATTTCTTCAAAGAAGGTGCATATCAAGGTGCGTCTTCTCTATGCAGCAATTTTCATAAGCAATTTAACAACATTTACTATTATAGCTATGTCAAATTTAGCTGAGGGCAAAAAGACAAAGCAACTGATGAGATGAATAGAAAAAAAAGCTTCCAAAAGCTTATTTTCTCACTTTTTCACTTTTTAATCTGGTTTCCTCTCTGAAGACTTACCTGACCATTGGAAATAGAAGCTTATGAAATTCTTTATTTTTTGTCTATTTCAAACTGCTTTTGAACAACTTCTAATGGCAGTTATTGCAAATGACATGGTAAACAAACTCATTTACATAAGTGATATAAACACCCAAGTATTTAAAACAACAGTTAATACAGAAAAAAAAAAAAGAATTACATACTTCACCGCAGTGATGACAACATTACGCTTCGGTTCGTTGTCATAGCTCACACTTTCAATGCCATAAACCTGAGCTAACTCATGGATGATTCTGCGATGATCTCTGTTCATTGGTGGGTAACAATGACTCTTTTTTGTATGCTTGCTCTGAATTCAAGAGAAGAAAATATGGTAAAGCTTTTCATCTGAGGGAGAAAAAAAAAAGTCATGTGCTTCTACCTCTGAACTTTTACCACTTTAACAACATTAGTACAGCAAAACGCTCATATCTCAATATTGATAGAAAAATCACCTAAAAAGGTCCATTTAATTCCTAGAAAAAACAACATGTTCTCTATTGTTCCCATCACCTCAAAGCATAGCATATAAATATCAACGTATCTTTAAAATACAAATCATGCATGTACTGATAGTTATTTTCTCCATTTTACTCGCATCCCAAAGAACCAGGATAAAGTAATCTTTCTAAATTTATTTTTCAGACTGATTTTCCAGTTTAGAATCAAATCTTAGTGGTTTATTTTTCAGATTGATTTTGCAATTCACATACTGTACGTTACTACGAAAGCGTTAGATTTAACTACTACTTCCTTCCACCAAAGCAGCAATTTATCTGCAAAATCTGCCATGAAATAGAAGAAGTCTACCAATGTTATAAAAAGGCAACAAAACTGAAGTTTTAGGTTCAGTTAAAAACTGCCAACAATTGATTTGACATTGATTGCTACATAAACAGTAAAAGAACAAACAACAAACATGGGCCTCCTTTCAAATGTTTTGGGTGATTTAGTGACAGTAGGCACGGAAAAGGAGGGGGCACTCAATGCCTTAGTCTGCTTCAGGGACTCAGACTCTCTGCTTCAGTCTTTGCCTTAGTCTTCACCAAGGTCTCCTAGACCTTTAGACCTAGGGACTGGGCTCAAGGGGAAGAAGAACTACCAGAAGCAGAAAAAGTTTGGGTCAGGGATTTCTTGAGAAATAGCTTATACAAGTTCATGGGACCAAATGCAGCGCATTTAAGGGTGCTGAGAAGAGATCAGCCCAATGCCATTGTGCACCCAGTCCGTTATCTTTGAAAGGCTATGGAGTGGTAGGTACCTGACAACTTGCAGAAAGGCACCTGTTTTCAAAGAGAGCAAGTAAAACAACCCAGAGTACCACAGGCTGATCTGCTTCACTTCAGTCCCTGAGGAAAATAGAGCAAGTCCTTTTGGAAGGCATTTTTAGGCGCAAGAAGGAAAAGGTTTGTGGGAGCAACCAATGTGGATTTACCAAAGGTTTTCAAGATCTGACTGGACAAAGCCCTGAAAAACCTGGTCTGAATTCAGTGTTGATCCTGCTCCAAGTAAGAGTCTCAGCTAGGTAATCCCTGGAGATCTCTTCCAAACTGAATGTTCTCTACGAGACATCTTCCGACAGTCTATGCTATCTTTCACATTCAAACGTGAACGTCTAGTTAGCACGTCTCTGGATCACCCAATGAAAACTGACACAATGAAAAGTAATCACTTGACAAGTGAAAAATGTCTTGTCTAACTCAGTAAGATGCAGAAGAACTCATCTGAGAGTCAAGTCATCTTACAGGCAATTTTGGTAAATCTTAGACCACATAAATATCACTTCACGCTTATCACAGCATTGCATGAAGTAATTTAGATGCAGTACTGTATCCCTTCACTTCTAACAGTCTAGAAAAAATTGTTTTGGTCTAGAAATGTTAATCTAACCTGTTTTTAAAAAGTAAGTAAAAGAATAAAGACTCTTGGAAATCATTTGAACTACTGCAGTAATCAACATGAAGGTTCTTAAAATCTTTCCTTGGGTCTTTTACTGTAATACTGATTACAGTTATTTAGAAAGAGGAATGCTACTTAACAGTAATCCCATTTGTCATAATCCTTTTCCCTTCAATCCGACTCAGTAAGAGATTTAATCACCGCTTCTGATAGAGAAGGACAGAATGAGGAGAAAACTCATCCTCTCCATTGAGAGAAAAAAAAAAAACCAGTTCTGCTGCAGTCACCTAAATTCCTCTCAAGACCACCACATGTAATAGAGCAATACATCAGGCATATATTGTAGCTGCACTGTAAATAGAGGACTAAAACATACCTTATCTTAGGCTGTAAAATAGCTAAATTAAGGATAGTAACGGGACCTGAAACTTATCAATCTTTTCCAAGAGTCACTGCTCTTCGGGGTAATATCACATGCTGTCAGGACAGAATCTTTACTTAGTAGTACACAATAATAAGCCTCCCGCCCATTACAACACTTTAAGCATAAAGAACTCTAGAAATTCTGTACTCCTTTTGGCTTACTAGCAATGCTTCCTTTAAAAATTGGTGATTGGTTCCAAGCTCAGAAAGACCAGCAAAATTCCTGTCTGTATGTAGACAGACCTGGATGACGAGTGTTTTCTGTCCTGTCTGCTTTCATATGTCAAAAGTGACAACTCTGCTTTGCTAGATTAGTACACACCGATGGGTGTAGGGGAACAGATGTTTATGAGGCAAGCAAAGTTGCATAAACAGCTATGGCTGAAACATTAATGCTGAAACTCCTAAGTGACAAAAAGGGTCAAAATCCTTATTATTACTCATTCATCCAGTTAAGCAGTTAAGCTTCCCCCAAGGGAAGGATGAAAAAAAGTGAAGTGTGTAAGCATAAGTAGTAACAACCTGTTGAAAATCAGTAGGGAAGAAATAGTACTGATATAAACAGAGCTACATGAACACTTGATAAACTAGCACACAAAATACTTTTAATACAAGTACATAAAGCTCTATATCTAGAAACAAAGAACACAACCCACATCTTGAGCGAGAAAGGATTTAGAAGCCACAGTAAACAAACAACTGAACGCAGACTCAAGCACAAGAGGATTTAGGAATCATAGCAGAAGAACAACTAAGCATTGTCTTCTACCATAATGCCATGTCAACAACATTAATCTTCAGAAACATAAAAAAGGTAGCTCACTGATATTAAATATACTATTAAAAAAAAACAAAAACACAACTGTAATGGAATACTTCATACTGTTCTAATGTCTATGCCTAAAAACATTGGTGAACTGAGCAGGTACAAAAAAGCTCAAAAAATTTTTTAGCCATGACAAAGTATTTGTGGATTACATCTTATATAATCTGTTTATCCTGTCAAAGAGATCAACAGATGACTCTATAATAGTTAACCTCACAAGAGCCAAACACGATGTGATAGAAGTCGACTAAGTTAAAAAAAACAGTTGCCCATTTACAGTCAAGTTTGGAATAGGATTTTGTTTGTTTCTAACAGACAACCTGGAAGCACTCGCTGGCAGTACATGACTAAAAGAGGAACATAACGTAAGGCAAGATTGACGCAATAGCAACAGCACCAACAGCTACTCCCTGGCATGGGTGCTGTGCCCCTAGATAAGCTCCAGCAGGCAGAACAAAACCATAGTTCCTGATCTTTGCTGGTATTTGGCCTAAAGAGCTTCCAAATACTGCATTTACCAGGGATATGTGAGTTTACAAAAAATAAAGCAAGTATGAGCATTAAAACATCCTTATCACTGGCCAGAACATGGCTATTATTGGAGGGAGAAGTTTTTAACTGGGGGTTCTCAGACACTTTATCTTGTCTAGCACACAAAAGGTCACAAAAAATATTGAATTAGAAGAAAGTGATTAAAAATACAACTGCTTGAGCAAACACAGAGAAACATAAAGCATTGTCTCAGGACTCTCCTAGCATGAAACAGATTCATAAATAAAACCATGAAACTTATGAATCTTATGGGCCAGCATAAAAGGTTCCAGAATCAGAATTGCTAAAGCTAGAAAGCGCAGTGAGATTAGAAGAGTTGTGATGCTTTGTTAGCCCTTCAAACAGGACTTCTCCTCTAAATCACTGCTGGAAAAAAAAATTGTGCAAATGCAAGGTAGGCATTAAAGACAAGGGACCTCAACCACCTTCAAAGAGACTCCCTCCCTCTAAAGGGAGATCCTCCATGGAATCTTCTGTATGCCAAGCCAGAGCCATATACAAATGATAGGCATGATTTTGCTGCACTTTGCCTGAAGTCTATATATGTAATAACTTTAGAGGCTCTCCCCAGCAGCGAGGAACCTGCTTGGCTTGCTGGACAAGACTGAAACTAGTTAATCAATCTGACTTGGTCAAGCGGGGCAGAGTCCTGAACAAGCAGCAGTGATAACACTTCTCCAGTACAGAGACATCTCCAAGACAATATAAACATCCATGGTTGCAGCACGAAATATGACTCTTACATGGGGGCACAAGGAAGCCTCTGAGACTCTGAGAAATAAAAGGCAGAGAAAAGGTATGTCATAAGAAGGACCAAGTAGAAGAGCACCCTGACTTCACAGTGCAATGGACGTGATCCCTCTCATGTCATATACTTGGAGTTTGGAAGGAAAAGAAAGACAGCGTGACCTCCACACACACGGCAAAAAGAAACAACTCTGGTCTCAGGTAGCAGGACACAAGTAAATCTACTGTTACCATGTACACACAGATCATTTGTATAACCACAGAGTTTGTAATCAGAATGCAGATCTAAAATGGTCCTCTAATCAGGAAAGCGGGAGTCAGGACTCCAAGCATTTTAAAGAGTTTGACAACCTTGTGAAACTCACTATTTAACTAGAGAATTTCTGGGGACAACATAAAGATTGCAATCGAACTCCTCAGCTATCTATTGGGTTGGCCCATTAAAGGCTTTATGAAAGAAGAATGACTTCTTATCTGCACCTGCATTAGAATGTATGGATTCCAAGCTTCAAGACTTGTCACATGTCTTTGGTATCCCAAAAAGAATCTCTTCCCTTTCAAGTATAATTTGATTTCTGAGGACTTCTTGCACTTTATGGAATGGCAATTCCCAACTGCCTGAGGGGCAGGATGGTGCAGAACTCATCCCTGAGGTTCTGAACTGTCATGTGGGCTTAACTGGTTCATCCTGATCATGATAAAAGCTTAAGTAACCATCAGATAATTATCCCTTTAGGTCAGACAGGGAAAGGACTGTCATACATATGGTTTGCTTTCATTCTCTTCTATAATGCATACTCTTTTTAAGTTGACATTCAATGGCCTCTTCAGCAGAATCATTATTTAACAAATGCTTGGCTACTGCTGAGAACTAAAGTGCTGGAGATGCTCCTGAGCTCTCCTGTTCTGTATTTTGTATTGCTAATTCATTGTATATCACAAATTCAAGACCTATGGTTGTCTTTTTTTGGTATATATTATGTATGCCAGTTGGGTATTGATATAGGTATATATATTACTATAGGTAGTTATCATTTTTACATCTATATTAAATACAGTATACATACACACATATTATGTATATTTTAATACTTTAATATATGTGCATATATATAATATCTCTTAAAGAGGGCAATGACAGGCAATACTGTGTTGGAAAAGTTTTTTTTAAGTTGCTAATAGATGTTCTATAGATCTATTACTGAATGTCTAAGGTTGAAGGGGTCCGAATACAATGAGACAGACTGCCTCTTCTAGTCTTTCATTCCAAGGTGGAGAAAATGGGTAACACGAGACAGGCAGAGAAGCACAAAGATTGTTTAAGAATGGCCATACATAAGAAAAGGAATGAAGTTAAATAATTGAAGCAGAAGGTAAGCACTTTTGGAGGGTGGGGGTAGAAAGCCAGGAGTATGCTAACCTTGCAGTCCCAAAGGCATAATTCTACTTTCATGAAAAGCATGATTGCATTTATTGTGCATGATTTTCCCAGGTACACTGGAGTCCACCAAACAATTACGGTTGAGTCTACAAGGCCTTACTAATGGAGAGCTACCACAGATGTCATCTACTAGAAGAGTAGTAGGTAATAATCCATTTCTGGGTCTCCATTAATGAAGCATTAATCATCAAAGATGGCTTTTAAGGGCTCAAAGACTTTATGAGGAGGAAGGCCCAAGCTTTCCAGACCTGGTAGCAGAACTTGCTCACAAATCTGTGGATATCTTCCGGTAGACGTTTCTAGGAGAATCACTTTGGTGACAGCCAAGCTTCATTTAAAGCTTCAACTAGTGCTAGGTTTTAATGCAGCAGTAGGCCTCCTAAAAACGTTGTTCTATTTATGATTAAAACGTGCACTCCATTACAGTCTAAACAGATCTAGTGTCAGTTCATAACTATTAGAACTCAAAACTTTAGTAAACATCACTCAAAATCCCAAAAAACTATAAAAAAACCTCTTAATATCTCATAGAGAGTATATGAATACTGACCTTATTCACAGCTTCCACAAGCAGTCTCATTTCCTTCTCAATGTCACTGACAAATTTTAAATCTTTCCTGCAAAAACAGCAAACTACGTAAATGAGATGAGAGATGGTACAAATATACCATGTCTTCATTTTTTGTAACATTATTTTCAACGAGAACAAAATTGATCATTTAACTGAAGCAGTAACAGAAGTGAGAGCACGTTTTGGTTCACACATTGTTCTATTCAAATAAATAAAACGTTAGTGTGTCGTCACTATTACAAAAATCTTCAATTATTTTCCCTTTATGCCTTGAAATCAAGTCTGAAATTGTATGACATAACTTTGCACTTTCAAATATGTAGTTTAGATTTTGAAGTCTTCTTTCCATTATCTTTAAATTGCTTCTCATTAAGGCAATTCATTTAATTATAATGCAATTAGACATGGGAATTGGGATAGGGTAAACAAGAGTGGAGTTTTTCCCCAAGACACTGACTCTGGTCTTCAACATGTTCAGCATAACAAAAAGCGGGTTTTGGGGGGGGAGACACAAGGTTACTTGCAAGGAAACAAAAGGCTTTTACACAAGATAGAAAGGATTTTATAATGAATTTTTTTACCCTGTTTAATCATTGCAGTTCAAGTGCATCAAGTTTAAGATATCCTTTACGTGAAAAATTTCACTAGATAAAAAAATAGATTATTCCCTTGGACATTCATTACTTCTTGAAAGAAAGGAATACTATATCACGTCAGGCTGCTGTGCTGCTTTTGTTCAGACAAATTTCTTAAATTATTTTTTCTTTGACAGCTTCAGCATTTTTGGTCGCTGTTAAGTCATAACTGCTTTATAGCTAGTGACTGGGACAGCAAATGCAGGTGGCAATCTAACTCGCCGTGGACAAGTCATGTGCATTACTGAGAAAGAAGACATCTTGCTAAAATATTCATCTCAGGTTCTCTACAATGCAACTCGGTGGCTGAAAAGAAAAGTCTACCTGAAAATTTTTTTGAAAGAGATTCAGTTTTTGAGATATGAAGCTCAGACATTTTATACTTAAGACTGAACCAGGAGCTTTCAACCTTAACCTGATTAAAACAAACTGCTTATATCCCAGGCCTGGGCCAAAGTAAAATTGCCCTTGAGTTTGACTTCATGGGTTCAGAGCCAAGGCCAAGCTTGCATATAGGGTGAGCTTTGTGCTCTGTTCTTAAATGTGCAGGTAAACTAATCCCAGAAGTAAGGTTAATGTTTGTTAGAGAATCATCTTTATGAAACACCACTTTTTGAATGAGGTCAGAATTTCATCAGTTAAGAAGAGGATGCCCTATCAAAGTTTTGGATGCTGAAGTGAAAATAAAACTAGAAGATCAAGTGGTCACAAGCAAGTATGTGAAATGGCAACACTGAGTAGCTCATCTATCAAAATCACCTCATCGTTAGTATGATGCACTTAGCACACCACTGGAAAACCTGCAAGGTTTCACAATAGACATGGTGAATAGACGCTGCATGGAATTATCAGAACCTTTGTATCTCTCGTGCAGAAAACTATTTGTTGGAGAATTCCATAAAGTACCTGGACCTGTAGCGTTAAAAAGAGAGGGCCCTCCAGACACGTAGGGTATGAACTACAGAATCAGCCCATGCAATGCAAGGCTTTGGAAATAATATTGCAAGAATAATCTCTGGCTAAAACAAAACACTGACCCTCTCTGAATCAGCTTAAGTTAAGTCAGGGAAACAGAAAGCAAACACTACATGGAGCACCAGCCATGAGCACCCAACCCAAAGAGTGGGCCCATAAGCATCAGATACTTAAGATTTAGAAACCCACTGAGGAATCAGTTCAGACAGGAAGATATGTTCAAAAATCAATCCTCCAGGAGCCTACAAAGAGTTATTAACTGGAAGCGATCAGGGACTTCAGCCAGGTGGACATCCTTTCAGAAATATTTGGAAAGACCAACCAGTGTCTTTTAGCTTCAAGAAATACCAAGGCAGTCAAGACTTAAGAACTCACACAGGAAGACAAAAAACAAGAAAGCATACTATGTTGGGAACAGGGTGGGGAAGGATCATTTGACTTACAGAAGGTCATTATCCTGCAGGAAAGTTAGACAGACTGGGCTGTCTAACTCATTTCATGGGCAATACTGAACATAATTGCAGAGAAACTCATTTCATGGGCAATACTGAACATCCACAGTTTCACTGCTTCCTTGAAGAGCAGAAATAGGACCTTGTACCCTTTTGCTTGTTACATACTACACAGTAGCAGAGTTGTGACTACCCATACGTATGACCAAAGCTGAGGCAAGTGCTTTCTGTGCACTTCTCCCTCCAGAACCTTTCATACAGGAGAACTCCACAGAATACCAACCCTGAGTCACCCGACGGTCTATGTGGGCTCCAACCGTCCAGAGAGGAATCTCCAAGGCAGATCAACGCATATGGTGGGAGAGACTGAAAAATCGCTTCTCCTTTGAAACCACGGAGAAGATTCTGAGGGAGTGTAATGTAGGTAGGAAACTTTAAAGAAATGGTGGGCTTCACCATTCCTTAAATAAAAGGTTTCCTTTGAAAGGGAGACCCTCTAGAGACATCTGGAGAGTTCTGAGCTCAGTATATACTATGAGCTGCACCAGTGAAGAGCTGAGGCAATCCAACGCAAAGATACCATTGCACATATCCACCACAGTGTGAATCACAGTGCAGCTTGCTCCTCTGCTACTAATGCTGAAAAAGCACAGGTAAAGTTTTCTTTAGAGCATAAAACTTGCCTTTGAGGTCACCAGATAAAATTGGAAAAGAAAAAGTAAAAAAGAAAAAGTAAAGCCTCTTTTCAACTGCATGCAGTCTTTCCTTTCCAAATTTCGGGGCATACCTTATTAGACTGCTCTGAAAAGAGTGCCAAGTTAACACACAGGTATTCTGCATTCCTAACTACATGAAAGCATGAATACTCACTTTGCTGAAGGGCAGAAAGAAGCCTGCAATTGTGAAGCAACACTGTCACATTGTGAGGCTTCACTGCCTGGCAAAGACCTTGAAAGGCTAAGGGTAGCAGAGACTATCCATTAAGCTGAGGAAGAGAACGAAGTCTGCTTTAAGTCATCCCACAAGAGTATGAAGAAGATGCTACAGGTTCAGTAGCGTTTTTTGTATGAACCTGATCAGATAAATGAGTGAGGAGGGGTAACAGTAATTGGCTACTGCATATTTCACTACTGCACTTGTATCCAGTTTTAGGTGGTTTGTTCTGATGCTGCACCAGCTTGCTCATTTCACGTTTGGGGAGTTGCGTTTGCAGTTGTCCTCCTGCTGGAGCTGGTTTGTATATTTACAAGTTAATCAATGTGCAGGTTATATTGCTCTATCTAAAGTAAATGGAGCATCTCCATTTCCCAGGATGTTAGTGAGCATCTATTACCTGACTGAAGAATTTCTCAAGTATTTTTAATTCTTTATGTAGGTTGCTTGCCCGATCTCTTAAAATGACTTTTCTAAGTTTTGCCAAATGTTGTTAGAGGTATTAGTATTGTTTACTGGCAAATAAATCATGATTCTCACATGATTTCTTTCATTAATTTATTAATGGCTGGCTATGGTCAAATAACTAGCTAATTGCTCACTGTGAGTTCATACAATCTAAATGGTAATGGACATTTAACTGAAAATAATGCACAGCAAGGAAAGGAAGTGGTTCTTAGAATCAACATGTCTAATCTGACCGTGGGTAAACTGAAGCCTTGCAGTGTGGGACTGGAAAGTCTTTCTGTGCAGTGTCCATAAATGGTGCACGTTAGCTATCTCCTCATCTCCCCTCCTGCATTACATGTAAGCAGCAGCAGATCTACCACCATTTCAGCTTTTCTCAACCTCTGTGCTAAACAGGAATGCTCTGTTGCTTGATTTTTCACTGTACGTCATGCTGTTTATTTTTCACTTTTTGCTGCCTCTGCCAAAAACCTCTTCCTTGCAACACACCTGTCAGTACAAGATTTTTGCCTGTAGCCAACATTCCAGGCTTGTAGTTTGCCAGTCATCTGTTTGAGAAAGTTTCCCTCATTGCCCTTCCTTCAGGCTTCTGTTTCTCATTTAAGAAAGGCATGAAGGTCTCCCCACCCTGCCCAAACCTGTACACTGTTCCTGTTGCCAGTCCACCCAAATAAGCGTGCTTGGCTCTATCTTCACCAAGTCCACAATAAGATGCGGAGGGTTAATGCTTGGGAAAACTGGCTAAGATGCTCATTAAGGACTCACCTCTCTCCTTGTCTCTCCAGATTCTACCATTTGACCCAAGATTTCCTTGGTACATACAATTGCTGTGCGATCTTGCATAGCTAAAGAGATGCCAAGAAAATCCTCTTCTGTGCAGCTTCATCTGGGCAAGAGAGTCCAGATCATCTCCTCTCCTTCTCCACTGGTATTAATTCATCAAATAACAGTTTCAACTGTCTTAGCACCATCCCTCTCAAGCTGGGCATTTACACCTGTACCTGTCTGCCCTCCAACTTCACATCAGGAGACCAACCTGGGCATCTGCTTGCTCCTCTGTGTCTATTTCTGGAGCCTCTTGGAGCAGAGAGCGCTGAAGTGTCCACCCAATGGATATGTACCCCTGATCTCTGCCTACCTGTGCCAGTACAGTTATCTCAGTGCTAGAAGATGGATCCCCTGGGCAACAGGATATCTCATATAAAGTAGCACAGTCCAGAGACTTGCTGCCTTCTTAATCCTTCTCACATTCTGACAACCACATAGCCAGATCAGTGCGCAGCAGCATACCCACGCTACTCCCGGCGCCTCCTCTCCCCTCACTCTCCTGCAAATGACATCTTATCTGGGACTGTCATCTCTTACTCCTCCTTTTATCTGGAGTTGTGCTGCATCTTGGAGCTTTGGGGTTTTGTAATGAAAGACTACAGCTCAAAATAAGGAGTCCTCTCATAGCTTTTCTCAAGTGTACTCATGTGTGGATGTACTTTTTTTCAGTCCTTGGCAACGCATCAGCCTCACAGATTAACTGCTTGTCTGCACAAGACAGGAAATATTATACTCTACTTGTGGCTTCAGCAGCAGTATTGTCTCCCTTCTTCTTGATGTAGTGACCCTGAATGCATGGGAAGAAGCCTGTCATACTTCTCAAGATCCAGTACACAGATGTATAACCAAAGCTCTGCAGAAAACAAGCCCTGAGCTTCTGCATTATAGGAGCAACCTAATCAAGCAAGAAGTCATCCATCAAAGCTTGCACTGAATGTTGAGCTGCCTGAAAAAAAGAAGTGGAACATATGCACTTTGTAGATCCTGCCACTACAAGGTAAACTCAGAGCTTTTCAAGACTGCTGAGATGAAACACCATCAAGAGTGGTCAAGGCAGTAAGTGTCATAGAACCACAGCTTTATAAAATTTGCTGCTGACAGAAAGATTTGCCAATACAGACAGAAGTTAATTTATCTTGAATACTAGAGTAAGAGCAATTAAATTCGGTAATTCAATGTTCAAGGTTATTCACTTATGGACTAAAAAGTTTTTGCTGTAAGCTGGGAACATGTGAGAAGAATGACTCAGATACATTAGTTGATCATGAGTTACCAACATAATGCCGTTATGAAAGAAGTGTAAGTAGAATGAATCACAAGAGGTTTTCATGAAGCAATGTAGAAGCATTAAGTCCACTTTTCAAGGCATCTATTAGACCAGCTGGAATACAGTGCATAATTCTGGTCAATTATATTAATGAAGAATGAACGACAACTGCCTTATGGGTAGAGAAGGTCAGACAAACGAGTGGAAGACATTTGAAAAGGAAGAGACTGAAGAGCTTGGCTTGTTTAATGCAGTAAAATGAAAGCTAGGTGACATATGATTATATTCCAAAAAGAGCATACGTGTGAGAAACACACATGTGCCACAAGATATTCAACAGAGTAAGGAAGGAAAAATGCATACCGTTGTACCTGAAAGGGGTAGAGCAGAACATTCCATACACATTTAGTAGAAAAGTCCCTACAAAATACATCCTTAAAGTGCAAATACTAATAAAACAGTACCTCCAGCTTTTATTTTTGTAGAAGGCTAACCAGTTGAAAGTAAATCAAGAGATGATTTGCTCTTAAATTCTGTGTGGCTGTTTTTGTACAATTCTCACTTGTCTCAGCAACTCAGCCATTTTAATTTGGAATTTTTAAGCAGAGAAAAAAAACTCAAAAATCTGAAATTTATGAGTCGTCAGGATACTGAAGAAAGTGCAAAACAAATTCAACAGGTTAAAGAGTCAGAGCTGGTAAAAAAAATACTGGCATATCCACAGACACACAGTTACTTAAAAAATGTACTTAAGTGACCTGCATTGTTCAAACATCTTTAAAGAAGTGTCTGATCCCTCCCTGCCATTCAAGGTGGCACAGTGAGCATTTATTAGTGTGATGCTTTAATATTACCTTGACTTTCTATTGCTCATTTTCAGACATTTCAGTCTAGACATCCGTTTTGCAGTCAACACTGGCAGTCTTAGCTCTGCATTAATCAAGTGTTTTAGTAATTCAGTTTCTTTGTTTCCCATACTGCCTTTATTTTCAAAACAAGTAAACAGGACTAGTGGAGGGAAATAATGTCATGCTATGAGGGCATATCTCATTATTAAGCTATCACTTTTGTCTTTGTCCTGACAAGTTTACACAGAAATGGTACGGATTACAGGGGGCAAAAGCAGTTGAGATGAGAAGCACATGTACTGATTTGCAGCGAGAACAGTGGAGAATTAGTGTTCCTATTCTAAATCCAGTCCTGTTACAGAATGAAATGGCCACTTTTACACTTTTCAGGTTCTTACTTAGGTGGTCCTGAGAAGTAAACTCCTTTGCCTCAATGATTATCTAGTGCCAAAGCTAGAAAGAAGAGTAAATATAGGCATTTTTATAAGAGTAAATAGACACATTCTCTGTTTCCTGCTCTCACCTCCTACTCCTTGCTCTCAACACTGTTCTACTTGTGACACCTATGTATGTATTTTGTTACACCTGAAATAATTAAAAGAATCTTAAAACATGGAGTAGGTGGAAAAATAGATACTTAAGTCTTAGCCAAAAGATCTATGTCATCATGAGAACACATACCTCGCATCTTCTTTTAAAAGTTCACTGTACTTTGGTCCAGAAGAGCGGACGTTAAAAGGGTCAGAATTATCATCTATTTGAAGAGCCTCAGCAAGACGCCTAAATCCAGGGATGGTAGGAACACAAACAAAAAAAAAACCCAGTCCCCCAAAATAAAAACACTTGGGTCAATGAAGAGTAAAAAGATAGGCTACCAACACAGATAAAGAGTTCACAAAAAATTCTGTATATTTGAAACTTCTCCAACTTCTCACTAAAATATTCTAGTAAGAAGTCCAATCACCCAATGTAGATCCCTAAACACAGGAATTACCTTGACATTCAAGACTCTAGGTCATACAGGAAGGATTTTCCACACAGAATCAACTGTCTGAATCTAGACAATTTACTAAAAAAATTTTAAAAAGTTCATTGCCTACCTGTTCCTCTGAAGAGCTAGGCACTCTTCATCACATTGCAACCTGAATTATTAAAGAAAAACATATTTAGCCAGAGCACTTCTCCTACATTTAAGCTGTAGTTTTGTTGCTATCATATCATTATCAGTCTAAGGAAATAAGTGGACTGTGTGAGAATAGTTTATTGCATAAAAATCAGATAATACAATTGAAAAAACCCAAAGACCTTCAAGCACACAGGTCCTTCTTCAGGTCTTGAATAGAAGCAGCAACTATCAAAGCTAAATGCAAGCTGAGGACAACAGCTTCTGAATTAGATCTGGTTATACTAGTAAATTTGATCATTTCAGGAAAAAGGCAGCTGATATCACCACAGAGGGGAAGCTAGGAAGAATTGGGAATTAGCAAAGGAAGACCTGACAATGTCACTCCTAAGTGACAGAAAAAAATATGTATACACGCACACACATATATACACAAACACATATATACACTAAGGAAAACAGAAGTTAGCTGCGTGTAGGAAAGATTACAACGCACTGTAAGAATCAGTATCTCTAAGTCTGTAACTTCTAGTGTCCGTAGAGTTATGAATTTCAGTTTCTTCGCTCATCTTTGAAAGGTGTCTTGCCATTTTACTTTAAGGGATTTAAAGGTCAGAGATGGAACAAGAGTTCTATTTAAAAAAAACCAAAAAAATACAACACAACAAAACATTTCCACAGTTGGCAAGTACCGATTTCTGTTCCTAACAGACAGCACAAGTGATTTCATTCTGTTGATAACAGTTGCTTGCTTGGAATCAATTAATCTTTATAGAGAGAACTGGTTTACTCGGTGACATATGCTATGTCTGGAGACATACAGTAATAGGGTCTAGAACTTCTGATGGTTTTCTTGAAGGGGGTAGAAGAAAGTAAACACACCTGCACTCTAAGATCAACAGGGTACTATTTAAAGTCATTTGCTTTAAGAATCACATTCTCCTCTTCTAAAAGAGAAATGTAGCCAATTTAGAGATACTACTTTAGTAGCGACCAAATTTGTCACAAAAAAATAACTGAGGAGACCAACCTAAGGTACTAAATGTCTACAGATAGGACCAGAGAAAGAAAGAAAATCTCTGCACAGTTTGTACGAAATATTCTGCTATTGCAAATAAATGAAGCAGATTTGTAAGATGTTTTGAAAATATTAGTTTGATAATAAATCAGGACTTGAAGAATAAATATTGTCTGTGCTCATCATCTCTCCCCCACCTCCTGTTTGGTAAATGAGGAGGGAAGGAGGAAGGCAGAATACTTCCTCTGACTGTACTTGAATGAAGGTTACTCGTCACAGCTTAGATCACCATAATTGATTCAGAAAAGGTCTGCTCAAAGAAAAGTCAACTCTGGTCTTTTCAATCACTCAAGAGATGACCTACTTTAGTGCAGGTTTTCTAATGATATTCAGAATTCAGTCACAGACCTAAACTGAGAGACCACATAGGTCTGTGAAAATGTAAATAATCCTCATCTAGGTTAATTAAACCAAATACTTGGAATCTTTTTCTAGCCAGGTGTGTCAACTTCCTTGTACAAATGTGTAGCACTTCCCGGTAGGAAGGCACAGAAACTGGTGCCGCAGTGACTACACCACACATTACAAAGGCTGGGACACCAACAGAGGCACTCCTGTCTTCTCAGCCCTTCTGGTAAATATATAATTTTCATGACAAAGACTCACAGCTTCTGTAGCTTAAAATGTGTTTTCTTCCACAGAGGTCTACCACTGCAAAATGGTTGCTTTCTGTGAACAGTGAAGAGAAATAATCCCTCTCTCCCCCTAAAAAAAGCACTAAAAACACAACGGTGTGAACATTCGGAGTTAACAGCCCTTTTGAAAAGCTTAAGTTGGCCTTATATTGTTGTCATCTGATTAGCACTGCTGTACAAGTAAGAACAAGATGGTTGAGGCTAAATCTGGGTAAAACAAAGATTGTTCTACAGGATTTCTAGAGATGAAAAAGAATGCTTATATTTTAAATACTTGAGTATTCAATTAATTGAAATACACAGGGTAGTCTGAAAAAAGATTCAAACGCTGTTTGTTAATTGTGTTCTTCTTGCACCGTGCTTATACTGTACTAATACCATGCTTCTATAAGTTCCATAAAGGAATTACTAAGGATTTCCCTCTTCCACCTTGATTTTTTTTCTTTTCATTTTCTTCTGAAGTATAAGACTGGTCCAAGTAGAATGAGGCTGGAGACTGGGATGAGCTGGTGCTTCAATGCAATATCTCTGGTATTAGTTGCTTCATCTTACCCACACGCTCAGAGTTAAAATTATTTCAGTGCAGAAAAATTTCCAAAAAGACATAATAAGAATAATGTACTCCAATTTCATAGACATAAAACAATAAAACAGAACAGAATGACAAGCAAGAATTCTTGAAATATCTTGGTGTTAGCTTTTGTTACAGGAAGTGGTAAAGCAACCAGAAGGGAGGTTTCACTGATACGATTTTACTGAATAAAAAGGAACGGTGACATTAGATGTTAACACAGACTGACTGAAACAATCAACTGTCAATTCTGAGAGAGGAAAGACTGCAATAAAAACAAACTAAAAACAGAAATTATGGACTTCAAGAGTGAAGAGATCAGTAAAATTCAATGGAAAGCAAAAAGAAAGCTGGAGAAACTGATAATTCCTTGAAGAATCAGTTATTTAAAGCAAAATCACAAGCTATTCCAATCCAGAAGAACATCAAAAGGTACAGAAAACCACCAATTTGATTAATTCACAGGTATTTTTAGTGACCTGAAAGCAGATGTGCAGTGCCAGGCACCATGAGAGCGCAGACAATCCAAGCATAAATTGAGATACAAATGTAAAGAATATAATGTTTTTGTTACCCTTTTTAGAACTAGTGAGACAATAACTAGGGGAAAAAACATGCCCTATTAACCATCTAGGAAGGAATGTTAAAACAATAGATGTCAAAAAAAATTACACTGCCTAGCAATCCATATAAATTTAGACATACTCCAGAAAGTTTGCTGGGATAGACAAACTCTGAAACCACAATTATATTGCTCCATATATAAATATTACAAGAAAATAGTCAAGGGTATAGAACTTATTCTATACAAAAACAAAAAAAGCTACAGAATTGCAGAATTCTCCAATAATAGTATTGTTACAGTAGAATTAGCCTATTTAACATCTTCCTGTTTTAACTGTGAATCTGCTCACAATGTATGTTCTCAACATCTATGCTTCAGGTACACACAAGGGTTCCTAAGATGTTTCTCCATGTACATCCTTACCTGGCTTGCTTCATTTCTTTTTTTGTAATAAGCCTACTGATTTCCACGGAATCTCCAAGTTGCAGATCTGTTAACTTAGTGGCAATAGATATAGCAGCTATTCTGAAAAAGAGCATGAGACTTCATTTGATGCAAGACATAACTTGGAAAAGGTGTATGAAGCTGTAGATTTAAGCCTCCAAATGGAAGAAGAGAAGTAAGACAGAATGATTGTTTCCTGGTCAGATAACAGAAAGGGACCTAGGTCCATGTCACCTAGATTTAGGAGTTTAGGCTAGCTACGTAAATTAAAAGATTGTTCTCTCATCCCCTTCAAACAGCTAAAGACAAGACAGAAATAGCTTTGCTTCTCCAGATTATTCAGAGCATCCGTTCTATGCAAGTGTAAATTAGGAAAGTGAATACTCTTTCTTCCAACCTGCTCAATATTCAGTCTACAGCTGACAATGAAGGTTTAGAATTAATTTCCTTTTCAAAAAATTTTGGAGTTCTGAAACATTTCAATTTTCATGTGATTCTTCTTTAACTGTGGAGCTAAAACCTATAAATTGAGTTTCCGGAAAGAGAAAAAGTAACTACTGCTACAATTTTCCGTGTAAAGATTCTTTTTCTTGTTCCCATCAATAATTAGCCTTCCCAGTCTGATTTTCTTCCTAAAATTTCTATGATTAAAATCATATAGTGAGTGTTCAGTGAAATATCCCACGCTGTTCTCAAACAAATCCTGAAAACGGACAATCCTATCTCTGAACTTTCTTTCCTGTTAATTTTCATGTAAAAGGATACTCTTTTCTCCGGACCTTTCACACCAAATTCAGAGAACAAATAACTGTCCATCAGGAAGGAAGATAATCAAATAATACATATTTGTCAGTGTGACAAATGTCAGTGAGAGCCACCATCAGCTTCAAATTTATCAGGCAATGACAAAGTCAAGCAAGTGGGCCATTAGATGGTAATGACACATGCACCTATATCATCTGTACGGACATAGCAACCTGAACAGTTGCATTTATCATGCAAGCTTCGCTGACACTTAACAGAACTTTTGTTATTACCACCTGGGCCAAGAATTAACTTGTTGGTAGAAGTAGTTATTGCAAGGTCCAAGAATTAAACATATATGAAGACATTTGAAGCTACTGATACACAGATTCGCATTAAACTGCTGATTGTTTTCCTTCCCTTCCTCTTCACTTGCGCTCTCATTAGATAAACTGTGTTTAATTTTTATGTGCGTAAGGATTCTTGCAGACTTCAACGTTACCCTGTGTGAATATTTTTGGAGTGCCTAAGGCTCAGAAACAGTAGAAGTATTATAGCCTTAAAAAATTTGGGACTTACAATTGAGCTACCTTCTCAGCTTATTATTAATGTCAAACATTTCAATTCTAAACTGGTAATTCAAAGTTGAGTTAACCTATCTCTCTATGAATAAAAATCAGAAGAAATTTCTCATTGAATAAGCATAGCTACATTTAATAGAAAACAATTCACTGTTTAGTTAAACGAGAGAAGATTTTGTTTAAAAAAAATCTTTGTTAAGAAAACAATGATCACCACTCTTGTAAGTCTACTTGGCATCCAATTTAGCATTGATCACAATTGTTCTCAACTGTCTCTGATTTCCATCCCATTTTCAGCAGGTACAAGCAGATGCTAAGACAAATTATGACAGAATTTAAGTCTATGCAATGTTCAGTAGAAACAGGGCAGTACATTCTAAACTGGGCTAGTACTGAGTCCTCAAATACTTGTGCTTAAAGGAAAGAAATAATAATTAAGCAGCTTTCTTTGGGAGACAGGAACAATCTATGAGTGCTGTCTCCTATCAACTGGGATACAGAGCAAAATTTTGCTTGCATATCAACTCCCCAGATTTGTTTCCAGATTTCCTCTCAATTATTGTTTCAGAGGAAGAATCTTTTTTTGGCCTTCTCATTTCAGAAGTTCCAAAGCCCTGCCACTTTCATATCCTTGTCCCTTCCTTCTCCTCTCCCATACGAGGAAAAGTAAAATAAAGGAAGCTTAGAAGGAAGATCTGGAGACAAATTAATTGCAATAAATGGAGTTGGGTAGGACACAGTTGGCACATTTAAAAAAAATAAAGATTTAGATGCTAAAGCTTTCACTACAGCAAATGTAATCTGAAAAACTATTCAACTGCCTAAACTTAGCAGTCCTGAAGGAGACTTCAGGATGAACTTGAATGACCCTTTTGCTTCTCCTGCCTGTAGTGACTAGGTTTCCATCAAACATAATGGGAACTTAAACACCAAATTGCACACAGAATCTTGTATGTAGTATCTACATTCAGGTGTCTGAATCTGGATCTGCCCAATTAGTTTGCATCTAACTGCTCTATGTGGGTAGAAGAGAGTTTCACAGATGGGAGATCCAAGCTTTCACATGTCACCACATTTACAGACTAACAGTAGCAAGAAGATAAATGTGTTGCAGCACAACACGGCCGATATGAAAGTTTAGGGGAAGACTAAGAAAGAAACTGTAGGTTTAACTATAAAAAAGCATGTGAAAAAACTTGCGAATTAAATATATTTCAGTCAAGCTCAACATTTAATCAAACCGCAAAAAATAAGTCCAAATCAGGAATGAAAAGAATTACTGCAGTACACACCTTTGATATGTATTAGATGCTTCTGAGCAAATCATACTCTCCTTTCTTCTCCCACATTCACAATGGAGATCAACCTGTTGCATCAACAAACGACAGCAGATTTTTTAAACTTTTGTCTTTTTTGGCAGGTGGGGGGAAAGGAGGTAGATCTAGTCTTTCAAAAATTCCAGCTGCAGTGAAATAGTGGCTACTTTGAAATGATGATTTTAAAAAAACTCATCTTATTTTTCAATATTGTAAGTTTACAGCAAAAATGCCATGATATCAATATATAAAAGTGGCACTTTTTGTCGCTACTGTTATTGGCCAGTAATTAAACTACGCAATTCGCTTGTGAACTACAATGAATTTTCTTTGTGCCTCTAACCTTTGCAGAGCAGGAAGTTGTCGGGCAGGGTGAAGAAGGATGACATGGGGCCATACAAGGATGGCTGCAATATAGCCTTGGAATTGTACATGGCTGTTTACACTCTTCATCTATAAGACATTCTCCTTTATGGCAGATTCTTTTACATTTGTGCATTCCACATTTTAACATTTGATTGCAGCGAAGTCCACAGGAAATATCAGTGAGATGACAGGGAATATTATTCCGCAGCTGGAAGTCAGGAGGAGGAAGATGATATTACAATTAAAAACGAGCAACTATAAAAGCCAATCTCAAAGTACTTTTACTGTCCACACCTTCATTCAGCATTGCCCATGCAAGAACCATAGTAATGAAACATTTTAAGACAAAGTCAGAGTTTTCCTTTATATCATAGTCCAAAATGGCAGCTGGTCTGAATGATATGGCATGAAAGATCTACTCTGCCAATTTAATCATATTAAACTCAGACTCTAGTAACATACTCTACTCCAAAGAAACAAAAACTATACCTCCAGTCTTGGAAAGCAAAGTAACAAACGCTTATTCTTTGATTTACATAAAAGTATATCCTGAACAATATTTTCAAGCTACACGTTATTTAGTATTCTAAAAACACTAAAAGGCCAGACTTACTTCATGCTTGCCCATACACCATTTCTGAGTGAGGTAAGTACATGGTGGACATTTCTCCTCACTATGACATGAATGGTACACTGCAGTCACAGAAATATAAAAAAAAAAAAAAGCAAATAGTTTGATTACTATACTCCACTTAAATGCTTTAAAGGAGGTGGTAAGGACTACTAAACATGAGCTAGTACTTCAGCATTACACAACTTAAGTATGATGCTTCATGCAAGTGTAATCTGTTTAAAACACTCTCGAAAATTAGATGGCAGATTTTTAGGTGAATATTCTTCCCCATTTTCTAAAGAAAATGGTAGAAAATAGCAAATATTTTTTTATCTTCTGAGCAGGATTATGCTATTAGACAGAATTTTTCAGAAAATAGATCTTTCACTCTAAAGCTAATCTCTGCTCTGTATTTTGCAATCAGTCAGTATAATTTCAGGGAAATTAGAAATAAGTACTTAATCTTTAGAATATAGTATTTAAACTGTTGTGATTATTAATAATGTCTAAAACTTGCTGTCTGAATCATAAAGGAAAACCCAGCATTTTAGTAGTCAGAAATACCACTGGTATTCATGGCAAATTTTTAATTGGTTGCTTTGTAAGTGCAGACTTTGACAAATATTCCCAACTCCTGCAAAAACTAATAGTAAAAAAGCAAATATATTTTCAAACAGACCCATGTACGGTTTACTACATTTTGACAGGTTTTTTTTTTTTTTGCTTGTTTGTTTTTTAAAGCTACAGTGCCAATAAGTCTGACTTACCTGGATGATCACACTCATGTGGCCTGGTGCATGTTTTTTTACACTCAGGTGGCTGAGTGCCACAGGGGACGGGGGGGTAAATCACTGATTCACCACAATAACAAGTTAATTCGTCAAAACCTGAAAGAGTAACCCACAAAACAAGCACATCTCAATGGCCACAGTTCATACACGTGGTTAAACTTCTCATTTGCTTAAAAAGTAGCAGCAAATTGGTACTGGTCACTGTTCAGCATAAAGCACACGAAAAGCTAGATTTCGCATCTCAGGGGAGAAAACTGCAAGAATAAAAAGCAAGTGAAAGGAGTAATAAAAATATTAGACAAAAAACTGAAAATATAAGCTGTAAATTAAAATTATATAAACAGTTTTTAATAAGTTCACTGCACCACTCTAATGTGGTTAAGGATGACTAAAGGAGTGTTTTTAGTTTGTCTGAAATAAAGGGAACCTTACCAATGGTATTATTCCTTACTAGATAAAGATGAAATTATGAAAGAGTAAGTAACCTACATAGAGGTGGTCAAGCAACATATGTTCCAATTCCATTAATTCTGTTCTTCACAGTAGCTTCTACCAGTTTATCTGTTCTGAACATCAGGCTCCCTACTCTAATAGTTCCCTGGATCCCTCCCACTTTTAAAAAATTGACATCACGTTTATTGACTTTCACTTCTCTTGGACTGAGGCTGTATGGTATGAGATATCACATACTGGAGATTACAAGTCAGCATCATCAAGTTCCTCTACAGTCCATTGGTGAATATCAATCTGTTATAGTATTCCACATCTGTTATTTCCATTTTGCCTATATGTCAAAGACCTCTTTTACTGACATTTCAGTCAGAGACAGATCCTGTCAGAGGCCTTCCCCACCCCTCCATAAAGAACAGTTCACCAGGTTTCTCTACAAGCAAACACAAAGTAACACAAGGGATTTTACTGTTGTTGGGTTTTTTTAATCGCTTCTGCATGGGCATTTTCTTCTCTGAACATTTGTACCCACTACGAGCCCGATAGGGTTCTTCGTTTCTTGCTACCAACGTATCTGAGATAGAATTTTCAGAATTCATGAAAACTAACAATGCTACAAACTCCCGGTACAGTTTTAAGATATGTAGAGGGTGCCTACTATGAGAAGTCTCTACAAGTGTTTTACAACTTTTTTTTTCTTGTTAAAGAAAATTAGCTTTTGTGGCTCATGCAAGAAAATTGAATTATGATCACTTCATACTGAACTACAACTGCTGTTAAGGAGTGGTTCTCTGACAGCAACACTTTGAACTGGAGCAGAAGTAACACTCACGTCAAGCTGAAAGCTGTTCCTGTTCTATCCCTGGCTTGAGAAGGAGATCCCCAAAATCTGTTCTCCAAATTCCTCTTCAGCGCCTACTACTTCCAAACCTTTTCTGCCCATCATTTTCTCATACCTATGATTAGATTGTGTTTTTTCACAGCTCTGCACATGGTACAGAGAAAATTACTAAAAGGCCTCCAGTCTCTAGACTTTGTTCTAGAACCTCTTCTGTACTCTTCACGTTATTTAATTCTCAGTGGCTCCTCATAACAAGCTTATGAACGTGTCCACATACTTCAAAATCAACTTGGTGCATTTTTGGAAGTAATCTCTGCCTCAGGGTGCTTACTGAGTTTGTTTCTTTCCTTATTTGGGAAATACAGTTTATACCCTTATCACAAGAATCCAAGTTTCACTGATTTAAAACACATAAAGGAACAAACACCATATTGTACACTACCCCAATTAAAACTTAACATTAACTGTACTGATTTTTGTGCAAACCTCTGAAAAAATATCTGTTAAAGATACCATGGGAAGGATATTGATTGGAACGCAAACCACAGTTAGATAAATCCTTAGAAAAACAGGATTCCAAGAGAAAAATGTATAGCCAATATTAGAAGTCATATAGAAGGAGATGTGAGAACAAAATAAGACTATGATCGGTCCATACAGGAACAAAGAGATAACGGACAAGGGAAAACAACAAGAGGGAAACTAGGAGGAGATACGAGAATAATGGAGCAATAAAAATAAAAACAACAATTCCAAGCTGAAGAAAGGATGAGTACGTTAAGGCAGCTGCTGAATCCAGTGGACGTGAAGCTGGGAGATCCCTCCTTCCCGGTCCACTAAAGCCAAATCTGGGGCACTCCAAAACCCAGGAGGTTTCTCCTGTTCCCACCTGAGGGATGCGGCTGCTGCTGTCCCCATACAGAGGTCCAGCTACTAGTAAGACTGAACACATTCCAGGAAGACAGATAAAAACAATATACACATGACAATAGCATGACCGGACACACAGATCCAAACACCAACAGTATTCACCTAAAGAGGAATACAGAAAGCCAACTCCTGTTCCTCCTCTCCAGTTGATCAGAATTAAACAACCTGCCGCAATAACTTTCCTAATTGGTCCCAGTCTTGCTACATCCACACCCAATTTCAGTATTTCTGATACCATATTCTAGGTTGTCCCAGTAATTCACGGTATTGCTGACACAGTTACCTAGGTGGTGTTGGCCTTGCAAGATTCCACTCCCAAAAAGGTTCACAATACTCCCCTCCACCTATCTGTGTAGCTCAGCCACCTCTTACCCTTAACTATCTGCAAAATCCAGGTGTTCCTCACACTGAGGAAACTTAGCTCAGCTTGTCACTGTGGTATTTATGTTTGGCAGTTTCACATGTCCAGTAGTTTCCTATGGTCTGGTCTGTTCAGTCAGCTAAATCTCAGGGCAGGCCCGAGTCATCTGCCTGCATAACTTAACAGAGCGAAGCAGTTAATGGAAAGGATCACAATTTTTGTCTAAGAAGATCAATTACAACAAATTCCAACAACTAATAACGCTAGGGAGAACAAAATGTTAAGGGTTAGAATGAAAGGAAGGAGTAGACTGGAGAAAAAAGCTGGTAAGCTACTATCCATAAAGATGACATGGACATTCTGAAAGCATGGAAAAGAGGTGGGGGGGCTTCTCCTGTCCCTCATTAAAGGTCTTGAAATAGCCTATAACCGTTTAGGCAGCAAAGCCTCACATTCTCCTTGGTTCAGGAAGACAAAGGACCAGCCAGAAACCCAGGGTCCCTGGAAGACCTGGTTAGAGCCAAAACAGCTGCACTAGCTGTCTGCTATCAATGAGAAGCGATCGGTGAAGAATCTTACCTATATCAAAGGTTCCTTAATCTGTGGGCCTGTGAAATCTCAAATAGCAGCACCAGGAAAAGCAAGCAAGAAGTCTTTGAAGATATCGCTCAGCGGATTTACTTCTGGACAGATTCAGAACAGGTGACTTTAGGGACACAAAGGTTTAGGCCAAATGGTCATAACTAGCTGTTTCCTTGAGTAGATAACTTGTTTTTATGGGCTCAAAAGAAGGTCTCATCACACACGTCAACAAATATCCCTGGAGCCTGAGCTCTCGCTTGCATCATACCCAACGTTGGAACAATTTACAGGGGTAGCAATTCTTAGGCACATAGGTCTCTCCAGGCTAGGGCAGGTACCTGAAGCTTGGGTCTGAGAGTGAAATACAGTTCTCAAAAAACAGCACAGCAACAAAAAGAAGTGTGATGATCTTGAAGATCAAACCCAGAAAGGAAAGACAGCCATTCAGAAAAATCTGGCCACTTTGACTCAACTAGAGCAGAAGTTACTGACATGACCTATGAGACTTTCAGATTACTATGTTGCTTTGTCAAGAGAAAAGTTTGGACACAGTAATATTTATTTTCTAGAAAGAGATATGGACAGTCGGCATGCATGCCATGTTCATACGCTATTAAGGCGGACTACAATGATATTTCAATTGCAATAATATTCAGAGACTCGTTACACTAGTACCTTCTCTTTTCCAGGAAGGTTTCCATGAAAAGCTGTTCTCCATAAAAACAGAGTTCTTTTGACTATGTCCATGTGTACGTGTCATTGGGGAGATGCATGTACTATTGCAGCTAAGAGACTTTTAACTCTAACAGTATCCTTACAATGCCTGTACAACACCAGCCTCTCTTTCACCAACACCATGAGGGCTGGCTCACACCTTAAGCATCTCAGTGACTTCTTTTCTACATTCCAGTGAGTGGTCGCAAAGCGGCGCCCAATTTTTAAGAGAGAGGACTCTCTTTGTCCAAGAGAGGCTGCAGAACTACTGGACAACACACATGCGTGTTGAAAGCATGGAACTCCAAGTGAGTATTTAGGTTTTGTTGATGAAGAAACACTGTCCTCTCACTTTTTTTGTTTTGATGTTCCAGATCAATTTAAGATTCTGCCAGCAGAAGGAAACATACAAGCTTTCTTCTGTCTGCTTCAGATATTAACTTCTCTGATTTGAACCTATTAAAATGGTGCAAAATAATCAACTCACAGTCTGATACATTAAGTAGTAAAAAGCAGTTGTGGAAAAATATCATCAACAGGAACAGCTTTTTACAGAGCACATACCTGTCTAAAACCATCGTACTACCTTAAATCTGTATAAGGTTCAGTAATCATAAAAAAAATTAATAGCTGTCAATCTATTTCTGGTAATTCAAAGGTAGCTTTTACCACTCAGGACGTGACTAGAAAGCCTAAGACACACAAGACTGACATCTATCTTTCCTTCGGATGGTCCTCCCCAGAGCACAATCACTAGTGGACCAAGTTGGAAAAGTCTGAATTTTAAGCAGCTAAACAGACTTATGCTATATACTCTACCACCTTTAATAGTTATTATGTTGCTAAACAGAGGATTACTCTTAACTTAGAAGTGGTTTTTTTTTTTTTTTTGCATGATTCCTCAAAATTTTTAAGTGACTGCTGGATCAACATGCATTACAATATATTTAACTATTAAATCCAACACTTAATAAATTCATCTACAATTAAATAACTTTCTCTTTCATGAAAAAATACCAGTTACAATCACCTGCCTCTCTTCAGATCCTGATCAGATTTTATTTCCAGCTCTGATCAGTTAAGTGACTAATTTCTACAACATTTAAGTGTTGCACTTAACTCACTTGTTTGCCAGCATGTTTGGCAGCTGCCCCGATGGCAGGGTTCTTCACATCTATGAAGCCCACAGTTGAGTTTGCGCCCGCAAACTAAAGAACACTTATGTTCTGTGTCCTAGGGGAGGGCAAAAGAGAAACGCTGAATTAAGTTATGAAATCCATCAGTTTCTTGTTTCTCTGTGAGGTCCTAATCCAGCAATTGTCAAAACATATAGCACACTACATCAGCTTTGGCCTGATCTATACGTGTTTCACCACTGTAGGGATACAGAATTTTAAAAGTTGATTTTGTTAACATCTGTAGTGCAGGCGTAGCTACGTCACTACTTCATCTATGAAGTAATTTCCCTCCCCTCACCCTTCCCCCACGAATCACTGTACTGACATAAAGTACCTTTATTTGACTTAGCTACACCTAGGTTGGAACATAGTTTTACATTTTATAATGATACTCATAAAGTGAATGCTGCAGAGTAAGTGTGTGTACACAAACATCTGAGCAGGACTAGTACTGCAAACAGAGACTGAACATGCACCAAAAAACAAAGACGCGAAAGTAAAGAAGCCTTTTTAAAATCATAACCAAAACCAAGCATGTTTCACAATGAACAGCTTTATAAAAATCACACAAGTGAACTTACCACACAGCAAATTTCATTACATTTGTGCCGTCCACATGACCTTTTCTTGTTGCATCGCTTGTCGCACATAAACGTAATAGCAGCTATTACCAAGGAAAAACAAAACAAAACATAACTTTGCTACCTCTGTTCATCCTGAGAACAAAAGCTGCAGTGACAACACTGCACCAAGGCTGTCACAAGACCTGATCTAGAAGAGGCTAATGTGGACTAAGTCAGTATGCAAAATTCTAAATTACCTGCTCTTCCCCAATAATTCCCCATGTGAATACTTAACTTGAAATAAGATTGGCCTTGTTTAAAAGGATTTCTGAGAGCAGAATATAAGACACTAGTTTATTTCACATTAGCGTTTATCCCATAAAGAGACTGTGCAAGAAAACACAGAAAACAGGATATATTTATACATAAAGAACAAAATTCAGCATCAAAGAGGACATAAGTTTTTGAGACAGGACAACAATCACTTATATTTAGTTCGGTACATAAACTGTTGCATCTGATTTCTTAACAAAATAAATATTGCATCTTTTAAAGGTTAACGTTCCTGATACAGTGAAGTACCAGAAACATCAAATTTAAGACTGCTCAAATTGCTAAGGCAGGATATCAGGAAATCCAACTACTGCTTATATGCTGAAGGAACTGCCATGAACAAAAAAAATCTTTTATCAGCATCCACACAAGAGCAACCACTTCCGATTCTGAAGAGCAAAGTCCTCATAGACAAAAACTCAAATAAGGAAACACGCACATTGCAATCTTTTTCATCTTGTAAATGACTACCCCAGTATGTTAGGGATCAAGATTCTTCAAACAGTTTGAAAAATCGGATAGGATAAAACTTAAGTTTTAGAAGCCAACTGAGCAAGCCATGCTCATAAGTACTCCCAAGATCATTGTTGCCAAACCAGGAGTAGGTGGAGAATGGTGATCTTTGATCTGGAGTAAGCACTTTTATGTCTAAAGCAGGATGGGCAATTCCCTCTGTATGTGGTCAATAGGTATGGCCTCTACAAGCAAGTATCCTTCTTGCTCTGGATAGCCAACGACTTTCCCAGAGGAGTAGGCAAAGGCAGCAGAGACAGCACTTAGAGACCTCCTTCCACGTTAGTTCAGTCAGATGCTGCACACCAATAGTAATCCTCTATCTACTCATGTTCCAGGTCTCGCTTTCTTCCACGAACGAGGTGGTGTCTCGAGTGCAGGACATGGCTGAAAGCATACATCACATGCTTCTATTTCCCTCCTCTAAAAAGACCTCTCTCGCTCACCCACAAGATTAGCAGATACCAGAGTGCTACAGCCCTAGATACAGCAAGGCACATTCTTACTTATTTATATTTACCAGTTTTAGTGATTCCCTTGGTGTGAAATGCTACCCTAATCCAAGCTGAAAGGCCCCTCTTGAAGAGGCTTACTCCACAGAAGCGAGACTGACAACAATCTTGCAACCAGATCCTTTACTCTGATATAGAGACAAAATCCATGGATCATTTACCGATTTTGCTGAAAGTGTTGGCCACAAAGTTTTCAGAACAGACTTCAGGACGTTCTAAGTTTTTTAAAAAAGTGAACGTGTTGTCTATTGGAAGCTCTCTGCTGAGCTGAGATACAAAGACTAGCAGCATTACAGCAACTGCTAAGCAGAATCAAAGCTCGCATTTCCACAGGAACTTGGTCAAGAGCAGAGCAACATCACTACTTTGTATGTGAGCTGTGAGAGAGTACCCAAACATAGAAAGAAAAAGGGCGTGTGTGTGTGTGGAGGGGCAACTTGTTGAATACGGCAGGTGGCATTAGAAACTGCTCAAATTCAAATAGACGGACTGGAACCTTCAAAATTAAGTGCTGAAGAATTCTTTTCTTACATAAAAGATAGATAGAGGTGAAAGAGGTTTATTTCAAACAGTTTAAAAACTAGCAGCATCTCAAGAAACAACCAACTTGGCACAAAAATATGGATAAAAGTGGTAGTATTGATCACAATGTTTGCCAGCTTTTTCAATCAAAACCAAAATTAGTATGAACTCTGTATTTTTTTTTTTTATACAAACTTTAAAAATGATTTCATAATAGATATGTAACATATTATAACAATATACCTTTATTTCTGAGGAGCGCACATGGGACTTCCTAGGAAACAAACAGGAAGTGATTACATCAAAACAAATTTAATAATTGAAACTTACTTATCTGGAAAACATCTAGTCAGTTGTGATACAGAAAAAAGCAGCACTCAGTTTTAACCTTCATGGCTCTTTTGTATATAAGAGGAACAAAAGCCAGGGAAAATCCTTAGTTTTTCCACACATTTTAATTCACCATTTCAATCTTGATTCTTTTAACATTATACTTTTTCTTCAAAGTTTCAACATCAACAGAAACTTGCAGTTTTACATCCCCTGCTTAACTCAGCCAACTTTTCTCTTAGTTTACGTAGCTCTTGGTAAAATCATCATGCTTTGTACTATACAAATACAGCAGGATAACACAGGACTTTGCAATCAGCTTACACAAACAGAACCGTACATACATGCTGCAAAACTACCTCAAGAAATAGTCTCCAGGGTGAGCGGCCCTATGTTAGCACTCCACAGTATAATCCAGTTAATTTCTATCAGTTCTTACACAACAGTGATTCTTGCTACTAAGGAGCAGCACAGCACCTCTTGCACTTCTTGGCTTTCTTTTCCCCAAACACGTCAGCTCCTTTCTCTCCACAGTTTTAAAAAAACAAAGATAACTCGTTTCCACAATCCAGCTTCATACACTCACCTTTTTTTTGAAGCCGCACCGACAATAAATATTTGATGTGCGAGAACACGGTCTACAATCTCCTTCATGGCAAAGGCTTTCACATGTATGAATAAACTCTTTCAAAAGAAAAATATAAAAATAATATTAATACAAATTAATTTAAAAATTAAATTTCACAGTCTGAAATTTGATATTTATTAGGAGCATCACTGGCCACAGACACAATGCATATGTGAACTTGGGTTTCCAAATGAATAATATGAAATATGCATAAAATACTTTAATGCTACAGGCCCAACATTTGCAATTATTTTCAATTTTAAAATCCTGAATATATAGACTCAAGTTTCAAACCTATAATTAACATTGAAAATGTATACTTTCAATTTTTTTTTTTTTTAAAACATAAATGTATGAAAAAAATCTGATTTTGTGTGATACAATCTCACGCAAGTCTCTGGATTTTACAAGTATATGAATTTTTCTCCCTTTTTAGCCCAGACAAAGGACTTGCTACGCATACTCTCACATTTCATTTACCAGATTAACTGAAATTCCACTAAAACTTAAATCACTCGTTCCCTTTCTACTTGTGGTCCTTTAATAAGGCTGAGTAGAGTTTCACACAATCCCACAGGCACATGAACTTCAGTTACCTAACATACTCATTCAGGTGTCAATTCATTTTGGAACATAACACCCTTCCCTTGAGCTTCCAGCATCACTTTCCCCTCTTGGCTCTCCTATAGCAGTAGAAAATAACTATTTACTAGAGGCATCTGAATGAGCCAGGCCATTTATCTCTACTCTACCAAACTTCACATGAAAGACAAAGACCTAAGTGGGTTTTTAAAAGATTTCAGTAGATACTACTCTAGAAATTCCTACAGCTCTCCCGATATAGAAGTCCATGCAAACAAAATTTAAAAGGCTAGCTAGTGTTGTTTTTTTCTAGACAGATAAATCTCCTAGTTCTAACGTATCACTGCGATAAAACACAGCCAGGTTGCAGGCTCTGCAACTCATTCAATTCAGTTAACGTTCAAAATCACTAAGCAAATATTTATCTTTGAAATCAAACTGTAAGGATCAGCTATCTTTTTAAAAATGAGATATTTTAAATACTTCAGTGAAGAAAGTTCTAATTACCATAGCTACCACATGAAAGAGGTTTGCCGCATGTTTTTCCGCATGATGGGATAGGATCTGTGCATAATTTACGTTCAATACACCCCAGTTCCAGTAACTTGCTGAGAGGAGTCTGGCCACATGGACAGCGATATACTACTTGTGGAAGTCGTGGACAGAGCTGACAAGGCTGAGGATGGCATACTTGTGTACAGTTGTGTCTCCCACAATTTAATTTTCTGGGAGCGGGGAGAAGGAAAAACAAGAAAAAAGAATATCACAATCACCGAGTATGATTAAAATGACATTTTCTTTTCAAAAGCTTATATTAGTGACCTTACTTGCCACATATCTTCTGACATGAGAAATTCCCAAATCCATCAGAGAATTCTTCCTTTGTCCCACACAATACATCTTTAAAGTTGCTCCCACAGTAACACACTAAACAAAAAGCAACATTCCACAGAAAAAAACACAAAAACACAGTGAAAAACATATGCAGCAGTATAGTAAATACATAAAGCTAAAACATGAGAAATTGTTATCAGTCAGCTTTTAAAAGGATAATGAAGTTGCTTTTCTTTAGGTGTAATTCAGCTGTCCATACTTTCCAGTTCTACAGAAGCTGTAATTCCTATTTCAGTTGTATTGACAAGGACATAAAAAAAGGGAAAGTACTTCCTGCACAAAAAGCTTACTTGGTGAAGCAGCATATGTAACTAAAGCTAAGTATTACCTTAAAAGTCAAGAAAATATGCTCGCAATTTGCTTTATAAACTGTTCAATAAAAATATGTTAGTATACTGGCTCACATACTTAGATATCTTCATTCCCATTCAAGATCAAGTTTAGAGTATCTTTAACAGAAATAAAAAGTAGTTTGCTGAAATGTGTTTTCATGCAGCTCTATATTTTTCTACTAATCACGTCTTGGAATTATATTGAAAGATTAAGTAGGATCACAGGATAATTCAGGTTGGAAAGGACCTCAGGAGATCATCTAGCCCAAACTCTTGCTCAAAACAGTCTCAGCTATGAGATCAGACCAGGTTATTCAGGGCTTTATCCAGTTGGGTCTTGAAAGCACCCAAAAATGGAGGCTGCCCAACTCTCTGGGCAACCTGGTCCGCTGCTTGACTGTCCTCATGGTGGAAAAAGTTTTTCCTTATACTCCTTATAGCTGGTTGGAACCTGTCATTTCAGCTTATGCTCGTTGTCTCTCATCCTCCCACCATGCACAGCCTGGCTCTGTCGTCTTGATTGTATCCTGTTAGGAGGGCCTGAGAAGAGGTCCCCTCCCTTAAGCTAGTCAAGTCCAGTTCCACCAGCCTCACTTCACAGGGCATGCGCTCCAGCATCCTAACTATCCTGACAGGACTCTTCTGTTTACATTCATTTTAAAATATGTAGTGGTGCGGACACATTTCCCTATTTATTTAAAGATTCTAGAAATTGATTTTTTTTTCTGTTAAGTAAAGAGAAAGCAGTTGCCTCATGGCATTGTTCTTTTTTTGGTTGTTTTTTTTTTTCCTCCTTTTTTTTGCTAGTAAAAGGTGAACATGCATTAAAGTATTCTGATACTTACCTTGCTGTACTGTTAGTTGGCAAGGTGAGCATTTTCCTGCATGGCACACTTGGGTACAGCTGTGCTTACCGCAATTTAAAGTATTTCCACAGACATTAGAACAACGAATTGCTGTTGACTGGCCACAACGAACTGAGTGACTGTAGAGAAAATACACTATAGTTCATTAGCCATCTTAAAATGCTCAGCACATTTAGTTATTAAGAGAAGAGTTGTTCAGAAATCTTCACCCACTTTCCCTCTTCACCAGCTTGTACTCAATGCACAGTTTATGCTTGTTCAATGCACAGTTTATGCTCGTTACGCCACTGTTGCTTACTGTAGAATCATCAGGACATTCTTCCCTACAGCTTATAGTAGCATCAACACTGGCCACAAGTTCCTCTTAGATTAATCAAATATGTTTAAAAGAAAAAGCAAATGTAACTTTTTTTTTTTTGGAAGAAAAAAAGAAAGGCATAATACCAAAAAGATCAAATGGTTGCTGCTCTGGATATCACTAGTGACTTCATACTCCACATGTCAAAATAAAATAAACAGAGCTGAAATTCAAAAACAAGTTTGTTCTTTTATTTTGCATGTTTGAGATAAGACATGCAGAATAAAACGTTAAATGCTTATTCTTTTGGCTAGCTAACAAACAGACCTCACACAACGACTCTAAAACATACATAAGAAATAGCAACTTTAAAACAGCTTAAAGTCAGAGGTGCCATACCACACATCCTGGATGGTGATACAGTACATAATGAAAAAAAAGAAATTCAGAAGCAAGTTTTAAATGCTAAGGCAGTATTACAGAAGACAGCAATCTGGCTGGCATTGGCGGGGCGGGGGGAAATCAAGTTCAGCTGTATCTACTAAAATTTTAAATAACAAGGAATAGCTAAATAAGGTCTCTTCCATTTTTTTAATCATGTAAAATAAAATTCAGTAATTTACAATCAATCGAGTTTTCTGTTGAAGATAACGTGCTTTCAGCTGCAAATGCTACTTCAGAAACAGCTGCCATCTGCTACAGTATCACATCTTTAAAAAAAAAGTCAGATCACCTAATGTTATATTCAAGTTTTCAGAAATATTTGCAAAAGCCTACAATCATTTTTCCTAGAATAAGAATGCTAACACTGAAATAAGTTTTGTTTGTTTTAGTTCAGGAAACGAGCACAGATCAAACATCTAATTACATAGGATCAGTTCTGGATAGCTAGAAAAGGGACTCTGAATAGTCTCAGAACAACTGAATAGAAAGCATGGCAGAAAGTAGGGGCAGGACAGTCTTGCTGTTAACAATGATATTACATACATCAAATATGCAAAGAAAAGATCTTCAAATCTGGAGTATGCTACAGACCTCCCCTGTTGTTAGTGGTACAGCTTCCCACAACTGTATATGTTATTTCAGAAATTAAATTACTACTCCTGTAATTGAGTAACTCAGCAGTAGATTCCATTCGAACAGAAAAAACGAAATTTTTGCTTCTGCTTTACCTAGGTCTTCCACAACAGAAAATAAACATCAGAATGTGATTGCAAAATAATTGCCTTCTTCCTTTTTAAATAAATTTCTCCAATTGATTGTAGCCAAACGTTAAAGCTCAGAAAACCCCCCCACCATTTTTAAAATACAATAGAAGTAGTCTCACCTTGTTCGTCCACATTCACATGTTTTTGTGACAAAGGCTGGGCATGAAGGGCAAGGTCCTGGATGGCATAGGCTTAAAAATAAGTTTAAAAGATAAATATAATCAATGTTTCCCTCTAAATTTACTGCACTCACAGGGAAACAAAAGTATAACGGTTTTTAATGCAACAGTAAAGTATCAGAACACTATACATGCAACCTTTAATCTTTAAGGATATTAAAATATTAACACAAGAAAAAAATTAGAGATGATTACAGTTGCATTGGTCTTACAAGTCTTTTAAGACAATGAAGTTTAAGAAAAACTCTTTCAGTATTCCTGTTGCTGTCAAATCAACAGTAACATTGCTACGAATGCATTCCAGCAGCAGGCATGCATCAACTCCAGCCTGCTGGTCAGTGATAGCACTCAAAACAAATATCACCTGTCCAAACCGTTAATGCATTTTCTTTCTTCCACAACCAATTGCTTTAAGAGGTTAGAGACAAACTTCTCTATGAAATTTCTCCTTTCGATTTGGTGGCTTTACCTTTTAACTCAGTAAGAGATACAGATGCCTTAAGGTTCTGGATAATACCGCTGCTGCTCCCCTTCACAGAAGGTAATGCTCGGTTACGTAACGTGAGAACTGCATCAAGGCTGCCTCAGTTGTTCTTCCTCACCATCACTGCAATTTCCTCTGAGTGTTGTCAATGCTAGCCCACTAGCTGAATATCAGATCTCACATCCTACTGGAGGAAATCCTAGACAGTCCCTTTCTGCATCTTTCAGTAGGATGTCTGTTCGGGATTGACAGGCCCAGGTTTGTTAGAAATCATATTCTACCAACTTGTTTGTACTCTTCCATTGCCAGCTCCCAGTTCCCTTCCTTTGCAAGTACAGCAGCTCTCACATGGAGTAAACGGGGATCATTGAACAAGACTGGCCAGCCCAGACGTCCTAGGCTAAAAACACCTCACCAAAACCCCCACAAACACAGACTATTCAATTACAAGTAATTTGTCCAGTCACTACACAGGGACAAAGTACTGCACTTGTTAGGGGCACGTGACATAAGTGAGTCATGTTAGCAGTCACCAGGGCTCCTGCTCCCTTCTTCCTTCACTTTTCCCTTTTAACCATAAGGCCTAATCTGCCATCCAGCTTCTGCCAGCTCTAGCAGTAAAGCTGAGCCATTGCAAGAGGAACCAGTTCAAAATGCTAACTCAGTTTAAAAAAAAAAAAATTAAAAAAAAGTCCCTCTTTGATGGGTTAGTTGACTAACGCTTCTGGCTTCCTGAAGGACTAAACGGGCACCAGAGCAGGCAAGAGGAAAGGGAGAAGATAGCACAACTGGATGGAGGATGTGGAAACATGAAACAAGGGAAACAGCAAAAGACTAAGGCATTAAGTGAGTTAAAACTGCGTCATGGTACTTCACCCTCAGTGAGAACTAACTGATGCCCTTTGCAACAAAAGCCACTCCCATACGAAGGGCCTAGTTCCAAAGTGCTACAGATTTTACTGTCCTGACTTCAGTTCCCAAAGATCTATGTAGGACCTAAAGGCCTGAGACCAGATCATAAACCAAAGAATCAGACTAAAAGCATCAACTCAAAATACTAGCTACGATCTAGGACACAACTTGGAGATGGAAAGGGAGAAATCTTTCGAAACCTTTCGAAATCTTGTCACACTAAGTTTTCTACCTGGTATACTATTTTCCTCAAGATTGCCATATTCAAACAATGTTAACGTTATCATTTCAGAACTTGCCTATGTGAGTACAGTCATGACATACTTTCTGTTGATACCGTACAAAACTTAATAGAAACTTTTAAAACTTACATACCTATAATAAGACATTGCAATTTTATAGTAAATTTTCTTCCGATACACTGTAAGTAAAGTATCACACAATTAAGTTGCAGACATCTCCAAGTTTTGATAACACGACTTTGAGAATTGTAAATAAACTTGTGTCATTATAACGAACAAAAAAATTCTGCCAAATGCCAAAACCAGGCCTTTGATACCAAACTTGCAATTTTAAAAATGAGTATCCTTTATGTATCCCTCCAGATACCTGCGCTCACATGCTTATTATTTAGTAAAAAGCTTTGAAATGACATGCAGAAGTTACGGTATGGCTACAGTTTCAGGATTTAGATAGAAATTTAAATTTCTTTTAGCCCTTTTAGACACACAAAAATACACACAAAGAAATTGCAGAAAATTCTCCTTAGATAGTAAAGATAGGTGGTACCTCACAGTTTGTCTGTTTTAAGGCACTAGGCCAAAAAAGAGACTTTACAGTATTACAAATTATATACAAAAAAGGGCAGAAGTTAAAGACGTCAGTATTAATTTCTGTTCATTACATACATAGTTTTATTTTCACTGAAGCTCAGTATCTGTCATTAGCATAGATGATTTCTTTCACAAGCCATTGCTGCTGCTACAGAGAGCTGGCATACAAGAAAAGTTGTTGTGATGGTAGATACAGCTGGACTTTGGAAAAATTAAACTGGTATTTGCCTGGCAATGAAAATATTAGATATTGTAAGACTGCCCAACGGGACTTTCAGCAACTGCTGTGGAGAAGACGACAGCCCCAGAGATCTATTAAAGCAGTAGCAGATACTGAAGTTTAAACTACTCGAGAGAGTGTCATTCACTGCCTTTGCAAGAGCTCTCAAGTGCCGTGAAGGCCTGGCATAATTCCTGTGGGCAGGGAGAACTTCAGAGTCTTAATGGACAATTAAGCTCTTAAAAGAGGTTTAAGTTTGGTGTGTGGTTTATTATTGGGAACATTTTCTTGAAGGTAAAAGTAGACATTTCTTTAATATAGAACCCTACAGAGTGAAATTAATTTAAATATATTTACACTAGAAGTGTAAAGACAACTCAGTAAAGAGCTATGCACATCATAGCTTAGGCTAGTGAGAGCACGAGCATTTGCTCACCGAGTGAGCAAGCACTCCTCTTTCAAACAGCTGCTTGTCTTGTCCTCAGATCTGCCAATAAAGTTGCTTATATAAATGGTCTCTAACCCATTTCAATACAGCCAAGTGAATATTAGTTAAAGATCAATTATTAAAAGAGCATAAATTAACCTCACTCATTTGCACCAGAACGAGTAAGCTAGCGCCACACTTACGTAAGCACCCAACTAAACCAGTGGCACAACGAAATGCTTCCCACAACCAGATAGGTGCTAAAGCTGAACAAGTATAACACAATGAGGAGAAGAAAAAGCATAAGAACTACACCATGGAAAGGAGATTAACAATGTTATTTACATTAAGAAAAATTCAAATTAAGGAAATACAGTTGGGAATTGACCAAAAATAGATAAATTTATATCCATATGCAAAACTAAAAAGTCAAACAAACAAAAGAAGGGGAAAAAAAGCAGCAGAGGACAGGAGAAATAAACCTTTCCGTCTAACCCAGAATCACTGCTTTTAAATTAAGACACCCATATGCTATTACAGGAAAATACAATGCCAGAATGTCTGGCAGAGCACTGGGTATACATTTAGATGACTTCTGTATGCTCTACTTCTTGACTTCAGTAAAAGTTCTCGAAACCAAGTTAGGCTCAGTTCTGATGATATGATGGCAATGATGCTACAACTATTTTAGCTGACTTCCTGTCCATGCTCTGATAAGAACTCAGGTTACACATATAAGTAAACAGAAAGCCTGAATTTCTTCCAGGTTTTAGAACTATAAACCAGATATGTGTATAAGCATATCCTATAGTCAAAAAACATCAAAATATAGTTTTCTGAAATGTTCTTTAGATCATTTCAAGACATTTACATGATACATGTTTACTTACATGTTACAAAGATGTGGACAGTCCAAACACTGCCTCCTCTTTCCACAAAGTTCTCCACAGCTATGTGGAATTTCATTTCTATTCCATTCAGGATTGTGTACCTTACCTAAAATATGTCCGAGGCAAAACAACATTTATTGACTTAAGTATGGTATTGAATTTTAGAAAAACATCACATCATACAGAAAAGTTGCATTTTCAATACTGACAGGGGTATGCTTTGAAAAATAAACAAAGTCACACAAAATGTTTTTTTCATCTTTCATTGGTGACATATATCCATCAGTTTACATCTTCAAAAGTATATCCCATTAGTCCTGCAAATTAAAATTGGAATATCAAGCTCCAGAGGATTCTTTCCTTTTATGCTCTCAGGAGGCATTTTGGTGGCTGGTATTTGATATTAAATTTATCTGATAAAATATAAGAAAATGAAAACTCTCCTTTAGTTGCTTCATAATTTGGTAATAAAATTAAAGGGTGCAATTCTCTTGCTGCCTCAATACAGAGAAAAAGGTAAAAACCCCAGTAAGATCTAGCACGTAAGATGATGGGGGAAGAATGAAGAGATTGTATAAATTATAAAAATCCCTTTTCTAAAAAGAAACAGACTCTATATAAACCTAAACATCAATTGTTGACATTTTGATAAATGCAAGCAGGAAGTCCTGAACAAGTCATAAATCCAATAACTTAGTCTCATATATACCATATAGCTAAACAAGAAGTACCACAATTCTGCGAGTATTTCAGAAGAACACTGAAACCATATTCTAATTAATCTCACATATTTTTTGCAAGCCTCATAGCACATTGTGCATGAGATTACCATCAGGCTGACAGTTAATTACCATGGTTTATTACACAAACAAACCTAATCTGGCTCTCTGCAAGAAGGGCATTAAATTAACAATGAAGCAATCGAGCAAATGCTACAAATTTGAGTTCCAACCTTACGAACAGCAAGAAAACGTGTATGTAACGATACAGCATTTTAACTTTTAGTATTTCTCAGTTGTTCTATAATTTGTAAGCTAAGAAAAGTTGGAAAACACCATAGACAGCGTTTATTCACCTGAGCTGCAGTTAAACTAGTAGCATATGCCCAAGGAAGTCTTGAAAATTCAGAAAAAAATTAAGCCGGAAATTTCCCCATGCAAAGATGAAAAAAAGCGAGGTTTGACCCCACTTAGCAGATACTTAGTATATGGAACAAATACAAGACAGCTTTGCATTAGCAACTGGCAATGTCCAAATGCCCTACGGCTAACCTAAGATTATCTACAGAAGATTAAGAATTTCTGTTCCATCATGGTGCTCTGCTAGTACTGACTCTGTGGATATCTTGTGGATCCTACAGTAGATCTCCCAAAACTGGCAAACAGTCTCTAAGTCTAGGCAGAAAGTCTTTCCTATCTGCTTAGCAGATAGATAATCTATCTCAAAAGAATGATTTTCATTTGGAATCAAAATATTCTTTCTACCAGATTTGTTATCCATATACTCATATATGATTTCACACAACTCATACTATTGTCATACATAAACTCTGAATATCTTACCTGCATTGCATTGTTCTTCATTGACTCACTGCATTAGTTAGATAAAGAGAACTTTAGAAAAAATTGTTACCCAATACGGCAAAGGCCTACTTTCTTTAGGGGAAGTTCACTGATTCCCAGTTCCTAGCTTACTTTCAGAATATATTGTTTTGTAGGAAGCAGAGTGAAATTTCCTGTGACAGAAAGGCTTAAAGAGGTGCCAGCTAAGTGAAATCAATAGAAATTTCTAAAGTGTAAAATCTAATATTAATTGTAATTTATTCACATACATGCATTTAAGTAACATCATTCATTTCTCCTCTTTTTTGATAAACTATGGCTTAGTTCATGCAGCAACCTAATCTCCCTCTTTTACTATGCTTATCTCCATATAAAAGCCTGAGTGGGGCCTGAGTGGGTTTAATACTCTTTCTTATTTAACTTTGTACCCATCCCTGATCAATATAAATGACATAAATGCTAAATTAATCAAAAAGCTTATATATTCACACTTACCTTCTTACAATAATATCAGTTGTATGCTTGAATTGTATATTATTTTAGTGCACCTTGCCACAAAGGAAGGCACAACAGATACAGATTATTTCAATCCTTCCACAAAAGGAGAGGTTTTAGGCTAGCAACCAAATTCTGGTGAGTATTTTTTATTTAATGCTGTGAAAGCACTCACGATTCATGATTTCACTTTTTGATGTTTTAAGCAATATAAATGGGAGTGACTCTCTGTGCAACAGCCTTTAATGTCAATGAAGTTTTAACTAAGGATAAATTTTGGGGATGTAGGAAAAATGTAACAATATTGGAACTCAAAAAAAGAATCAAAAGGACAGAATTGTTGTTTGCAAAAAGCAGCAAGAAACTCACCACAGAAACAAGTATAAGTTGTAGGAACTTGCATAGAAGCATTCTGACAAGCTGGACATCTCCAACCACTATTACCATCTGCAGATAAATTAAAGATAAAAATTACTTAAAGTAATTAAGAGAGCCAATTTAGGACCCTAGAATAAATGCTCTCATCATGTCACTTTATATAAAGGCAAGGACAAATTTCAGAAATTTTGTATTATTATGCATCCCATTATAATGAGAAGGCATAATGGTGTGCATGATAACATATAAGAAAGCATTCTACTTTATACAATATATGCAGTCTTCACATCTAAAAATATGAGGTGAGGGGAAGTGTTAAAACATGGGAAATGGATGAGAAAAATTTTCCAGTCTTAAGCATCACCTATATTTTTTGTTATCCTTTCACGATACGAGTTTAAATGTCCTGCAGAAGACCAATTTAGTATTGCTTCGTGTCCAGAATGAATCAGTGCTATATAAATCAGAATAATCTATTTTCAGTTACTTAAAAGGTGACTATACCTAGCTATTGACAATGACATTACTCTTGAAGGTGGTGTTTAATAAGATAGTAATTTTCTTGCTTCTGTATTTCAGGAAGGTATAGTCCCACTGTCAGTTTAGGTGAGGTGTACATTTCTAAGTAATTCTCATCATCTTTCACCTGCTCACAACATAAGTTGCCTTCCTTAATCCTGATCGCTGCTATTGACCCAGTTCCTCGTCTTGCCAAAAGGCTATTAAATACACAGAACAGTGCACTGGAGGATCGAAATTTGAGTCTGATCTTATAATTTAAAGTCAGTTATCTAGAAAAATGACAGTCATCAATAAATAGAAGAAACAAAAGATTGCTGCAGTGTATATGATGGGAAGAAGACATCAGTCCATAGGGACGTACCACTTAGTATTTGGCATGCAATCAGAATGTGCTTTAACATTTCCATATGCAAGTGTTTATATTTCAGAAAAAAGATCACGGATCAAGCTAGTTGAGTGACTACATTCCATAAAACAGTTACTGAAGAGGACTTGAGTTTAAACATAATCATGCACGTTTGAACTCTAAATTCCTTAACACCAAGCAAAGTTGCTTGAATGTATGAAAGTTCCTGTAAGTAAAATCATTTTGCTTGTTCAACTAAACTCAAAAGCAGGCAAGACATAATCAATAAGTAACTGCCCGGGTCATGAGAGTTAGGGTCCACAAAAGGTAGTGCATGCATTCTCCAGTGCACTGTTGGATGCTAGGCCTACTACACTGTTAGAGTAGAAGCAAGTGGGCCTTCTCCTTCCAACACAAAGCTTGTAGCAGATTCTCCAGAAGCACCAAGACATTTACTGACAAATCACTGAAGTTGAGTGCAACTGCTTTCCAACAGCATGAAGCTGCATGCAGCTTCTTGAGACCTCCTTAAATGGTTCTCACGGTCAACAAGATACAGTAAACAGCTCAGGGTTAACAAAGACAAGCAATGGTGTTTTTATGCTTCTTGGACATACAAACAAAAGAGTAATCATTGAAGCCATGGTACAGAAGGAGCAATTCCCCATTCACTGCCAGAACTCTAAGAAAACTGTAAACTAAGAAAAACATATCTGGTCTACTACAGGTGTTGGATTGGTTAGTAGCAAAGGAAGAACGTTAGTGCAAGAAAGCAACATTCATGAAGACGTTTGCCAAATTCAATAAATACCTGGCTAAGAGGACCAACGTGGGAGCAGTATCAAACACAGATAAGAGGGTAATGGAGGGTAATATGAAAACTGATTATCCCTTACCGTTCCTGTTAACCAACCAATTCAGTGCTGGTAAAGTAATAAATAAGGCTGTGATTTTAAAGCTCTTCTTGGTGTTCAAGAAATCTGACCTTGATTCATGATACTGTCATATTACAAAAGCAGAAGGGATCACAGATAGGAAACCTCACGTGTGACAAGCCAACTGCATTGCAGCAGGCACATCTAGGCTCTCTGTCAATTGAACAGGATACTGCTGACATTAACCACCACAGCCATTCTACTGCCCAACAGTAATGACTTCCACAAAGTGAAAATGATCCAAAATTATAGACATCTTGACACTCTTGAAATGCAAGTCTAAAGCATGACAGGTTTTTGTCGTCCCCCCCCCCAATACTTGGTGCCTACTCCTACCCCTCACTGCCCTAGCTCATGAAGCCATATACTGTGTCAACACTGCTGCAGATAGCTGTATAACTGTGAGTTGAGCAGCCACAGGACATTGGGGTAGAAATAAGCTCTCATGTTCGTGCTCAAGGCCAGCCTGCACTTCTTGACTAAGATTTTATTTGACTGATGCAAACTACAGTATCTCAGAGAGAAAGGCTAAAAGCTATGGGTAACTGGGAGCAATAAAAGAGGTATCTGACCAAACCACCAGCACCTGATGGCTGCTCCCAAAGACAGTAGCCCTATGGGATTCTTTTGTATAGCATACTTAACCATTACATTAACAACATAGTTTTCCATGTCATTTCTTCTGAAAACAAGCCTTTCAGCAGAAAGCCAGCAGAAGGCCTCTTACCAACATCTCACCTGGACTGGAACGCCTAGTCCTCTACAAGAAGCAACTTCTCTAGAGCTTAGTCATGATGCTTGTAAACCACGAACCTTTTACCAAGCGGAACAGCCTTTAAAGACATATTGTCGTCTTACCAATCATATTTTACACTATGCTCCTCTAAGGCACAACTGCATTCATGTGGGTCCATGCACAAGAAATATGTATAGTTGCTTTCCTCCAAAAACACTGGAAATAGAGGCTTTCTTTCTGGATTCAAATGCAACTGTGGTTGCACCATATGTCTCCTACCATACGCTGTCCTGTAAACACTCCTTACAAACTTTATATTACACATCATGATGATTACACAAGAAAGTGAAAATGAGGCTGACCCTCCAACTGGAGGCACCAAAAGGACAAGAGTCTAGGCAAAATCAGTACTACCCTCCCCTTACTAGAATTTAACACTGTTTTAGTATTTGCTATCCTCCCCTCCCACTGGGATAAAAGATTCCTTACTTGCAAGTATTCCCAAAAATATTTTCCATACGCTTTCATATTGCGGCTATCCCTATTCCTAGCACTCTCGGCCATAAAATCTTTATCTGTGATGCACCCCCAGACTCTGTCCCTTCCCATTGCATACCTGTTTTGTCATAAAGGCACAGTGAACAATCTCCTCGGCTCCCAGAATCCTAACACATAAAAGAGAAGCCTCTTTTAAGGGGCTTAAAAGAGCTTTGAGTAGGAAAAACTGGGAATATACACCTGCAGACTAGAGGTCTTTAAGAGAAGTTTCACACGTGCACTTCTTTCTTCTTTACGTGCTTGCCTACAGATGATTACATGAGGAAGGATCCAAAAACATCTGCTGGAATACAGGGTGAATGTCAAAAGGCTACGTTCCCAAAGGCAGCAGGACAGCACAAAGTTTCTTATCTGTACAATGCTAGGTACATTAAAAGAACTCCAAGCAGAAGATCTCAGTCATTTTAACTGTAGCAGAATGCCCTAGAATCAGAGGTAGTTTCATGTTACCATTTCTAAAAAGTCCTGGGTAGTTCTCCAATGAGATAATCTGTATCAGAACAAACTAACCTTTTGACTTCTCAGCTAGACACAAAGAATCACAAGTTTTGTCCTCCTAATAAAAAAAGCCAAGTGTTTGTAATATCCAAGGCACATAAAACAGCTTCAGCCCTAGAACAGCATGGCTTAAACAAGTAGATTCATATTCTGACCACTGAAATTCAAAAGCCATCTTACAGGCTAAATTTTGGATTGGTACACTAGCTCATGAGAGAGTGGAGGCAGGTGGAGAGAACAGAACACAGAGAGACAGTTGTAACAGGTCAAGTCTCTCAATCCTTCCAGCCAGCAAGTGCAAGTGACTTGAATACTTGTTCCATCAATAATGCAAGCGCTCAAGTCAAACACCACTGAGGCATTAGTTTTTAAAAGGGATAGGGAGAAGAAGAGGTTAAGGCATTTAACCTTCCCATTTGTAATGGTAAGAAAACAAGGAAGTGCAATGCAGGTACTGGTGCCAAACTGACCTGAGGTGAGCAACGTCTAAAGGTCACATTCCTCCGAAAGGAAATTTAAAACGTTAGGAAGAAGTTTTCTCCCTAATAAGCCTACCTTCTTTCTTATAGGAAGAAAATAGTTCTATGTGACTGCAAAGTGATAGAAGCCTAGCAGAAGCCCTCCTAGTGCACTAGGACATCTCTAATACAGAATGAACATCCATTCTCTATGTTGGAGGCCACTGAAGGCCTATATTGTAGAAATAGGAACACTGAGTCCCCCCAAAACAGCTATACATGACTATTGATCTGGAAGATGGAGCAAAGTGAAAAAGATAACTCAACAATGATGTTGTATAGTTTCTTCCAAGGATAGAGCACCAATTTCTCTCAGATAGCCTAGCTATTCATTATGCTGTAAAAAGAATAAATTGTGAGAAATGAGGTACACGTACTCTGCACTTTGAATTCCTATTGTGCGCCACAGAAACGCAAGGTGCTGTAACACCTCAAATTGAGGGATATTTTCACTGAAGCAATCAGTTGCTTCAAAAACCTAAGAGAATGAACACAAACTAATCTTGTCAATGAAAGATGCTCAATAGGATGGAAGCCAAATGTAGCAGCTGTAAAGTTTGGGTGCTGAGTTTCGATGAGATTTCCTGGAATTCATTATACAATTGCAGAACTGAGTAGATTTAAAGTAAATCTCTTTCAGAAAAACACCAGTTGTAAGCCAAATTGTTCAGTTAGGTGGATTACAGTGTCCTATTTCTCTTCTGACATACAATAATTGCTGTTGGAATTCTAGCGATTACACTTTATGTTATTTAAGCCTATAAAGTAGAACTACACTGGAAACAGCCTACCATGAAACACACACATGCTGAAACAGAAGTCCTAATCAAGATACAGTAGCAGTGTCTTGTAGGTCAAGAAACACTCGTCAGTATCCTTACTGGAGTTATGGAATCAATTCTACTAAAGCCACCATCCTTAACTGGAATTTTTTAGTTCAGGTCTTTCATATGCAGGATCCAGTAACATATTTGCTCCATAAATGCTTACAAGAAAAGTAAATGACCAAAAGATACGGTCATTTGAAAAGCTGTCAAGATTCAAATATCCAAGGCCACTGTCCAACAGATAAGCAAAACCTCCCTTGCACAAGCAGATACTCTTCTGATCATGCTATAAGATGGTTCAGGAAGCAAAATAAGCTGCAAAGAAAGCAACAGAAAAACAGCTAGGAGACATAGGTACTCAGCAGCCACTCTCAGTTTGGCTTAGAATCTCACATAACCATATCCAAAAATCTATTCCCTTCTTAAATATTCTGGTATCTTTATGTTTCACATTCAAGAGTGTCAAAGATATGCTGATATTTGTAACTTCCTTTCTACTGTCATTAGGAAACACGACTTCCAGCCCTCCCCAGAAGTCTGTCTAAGCATTTTAAAAAATCCATGCTACCTAAACACCTTGTGAAGTCCAAGAACTTTGCACTTCACCAATCTCTTCTGTAAGAACTTCTCTCAAACATTCCTATTTTTACCATTTTGAGGGTTAACCAAAGCAGCTGACAGACTATTGATACATTTTTTTTTTGGACTGCCCAGAGAGGAACAGACAGACAAAAGAAGAACGGTAAAGCCTAAAGGGGCAGGGTAAAGAAAAATTAACACTACAATAAGATGAATATTAGCATCTTCAGAGCCCATCTACATCACACAACAGAGCAAAGCACAGAGAAGCTACAATTCAGCCTTAATTAACACCTAAACATTCTCATGGCAAAATGCAGTGATATTACAGTTTCAAAAAGGGGTATAATATAATAATTATATATTACATATTTAAATATTTATTACATAATATTTATACATTATACATACAAATATTATATAATAATAATTGTATTCTCTGGACTTTGTTTCACCGTATGGCATTAGCGAAGGATTTCAGGAGTACCTTATCTCAGAACAGAACTAAGAACTGACTGTAGAAAAGCAGACAACTAACAGTTGGAGCGCTGCTTCTCTCACCCATGCTTGGCTGCTTAATCAAACAGAAGATGAGACATTTCGTGGTATGTAAAAACGCAGCCACAGAGCTCTGCATCTTGACGCACTGATTTCACTGAATGATCGTATATTTATGTATCCGAGTCTGGAAATTAGTTTAGCCAGAATACTGGGAAGTATCTGAAGGGTTACAGGTATATAAGCATATAAAATGGTAGAAGGGTTACATTAAATGTTAAGAAAAACCCTAAAACACCCTTTTTTGCTTCAAAACTTGCTTTATTCACAGCTTACTCATTAGCTTAATCAAGCAATATTTAGAAGTAGCTTTCCAAAAAAAGAAACACATGAACTAAAATCTAATTTATGAGAGAGTGCAAGAGAGTGTGCGTGCAAATGAGCAAGAACACATGCATACCAACCTTCAGCTTGTGAAGCTGGTGATCTTGCCCACTTCTTAATGCAATTCAGGTGGAATACATGGTAACAGTTCTGGCAACTCCACACTGGTGCTACTATTCGGACCACCTCACAACATACCATACATTCATATTTCTCTGTGGTCAGCTGTTCAATCAAGGACCCTGCAAATAATATATGTTACTTATGCATAAAACATCTGCTAGTTGAAAAATAATGTTTAAATAAACTCCCAGGATTTCATTTAAGTTACAACAGAATTTATTTTTCAAGTGTGGCTGTAACCGCGGTATCAGCTTACTCCTGAAAGATTCTAGTTCGGTATTTTGTATACATTTGTATGATAGTCGCATAAAAGTGGCAACAGTAATTGCAGTCGTGGCATAGCAATCATTTTGATCTTACAAAATAGTTATAGGTTTAAGCTTGGCAGAAGTTTAAATGTTAGTCATCACTTTACTTGGGAAACTTAGCTTTGTATAAAGTTTATACTAAAAAGTTTAAAGTTCTTAACAAGTCTAGAAGTCTCAATCAAAACTAAATTTAATTCTCATCTTTGAGTATTACTGGAAGATCACACGGGAAATATTAATGGGTAATGCCCTTACTGCTTTTGCACACCTAACTATATTTGCAGGTCACTTCCTGTGTCATTTGCAGGCCTTCTTCCTTTATTTTCAAAGGATCTCTTTCATGTTCTTTCATTTGGCTCAAAAGGTCCTGTGTTTGGCTATTGTTTCCCAGTAATTCCACTCTTAAAGCACCTGTTTCATGAGGGGCTAGTTACCTTAATCCAGGTGGAAGTAAGCTATACTTCCTCAGTTCTGAAAGATGCTTAGAAGCAAAACTTTCAAAAGATTCAGTACCACATTTAAAATAACATGGACTAGTCTAACCAGCTCTGTCATTCTAGCCAGCAGGAGACCAAGTTGAGATGCTTTATATTAACCAAGCTAAATAAATTTATCAGTTTGTTCAATTGGAAAGGGGCCAAGAACAGAAAAATCTCTCTCCTCAATTACTGCCCCCGAAAGAAAATAAGAAACCTTCTCTTAGACGCTATGGATAATGAGAGACTATTTTCTCAGTGCACACTTAAGCTCTTCTATTTAAAACAATAAAAACATGCTACCCAGGTTAAACAAGTTCTAGAGAAAGAGAAACCAGTGCTGTGGCACTGAAGAGATTCAGCTGATTTCCATTCCCTGTTTTAAGGCTCTAATGACATAAATTGGCACTAAACTAACTCCGCAAAGACCTGGGGGTCTGCTTTTCACTAGCAACAACACATCTTTCTATTCTGAACTTCCAAAAATAGTATCCAGAGGTTTTCTGTATTTCTAATCAGCTTTTGGCACTACTGCTGCAAAGAGATTGCAAAAAATCCAGCTAGGAATAGAACGCTGTTCCTCTCTCTGGCATTTTTGCTACTTTTTTATAAAACATTAGAAAACTTTGCAAATTTTACGATTGTCCCTCTCAAGTCTCACTGTTCAGAATGCTTTAATTTTGCCCTTCTCCCCTGCACACCAAAGGTATGGATTTTAACATGGCGTCTGACCAGACCATCATTTGCAGTTTGGTAGTAACGGTAATTAAAAAAAAAAAAAAACTAAGAGCAGGAATCCTTCTGTAACAAACTTAAAGAACACCTTCCCATTCAAAACACATACATTAACATTTTAATTCTATCCTCTGAAACTGATACTGATCCTATTGTGAAATAACAAGCCTCTTCACCCAGTCAAATGTGGAAGTAGTTTAAATTACTCAAGGTCATATCTTTAATACTGGAGTCCAGGAAGCTTACCTGTATGAGTTTCTTTGTTTTTCGGTACATCACTTTGCTTTTTCCAGTACTGGGTCCAGCTGAAATGAAGGGAAGGTGCCTGATCCTCCTTTAGCAGGAACTTTCTTCCATTACATCTGACAGAGTCAGACAATTGATGCCGTATTTCACTGGCTGAGGTGTCATCACTTTTGTGAACAGAGAGTTCTTTTTTCCTCTCATTTTTATCTTTTGAAGTATATGCAAGAGACGACTTCTTACCTACTTTTGTATTTTTACTGCGGTGAGAATCATGCCTTTTCTGATACTCTTTTTCTATTGGCGGCTTATTCCACACAGGCTTCCGGGGATACCTCTTGTTAACATAGTTGTAGCTTTTCTGCTCATCCCCACTACCAACAGGTGCCTCACAGAATGCCTTTCCAACAGATGATTCTGAAGAGTCAGACTGAGTCAAATCCAAAGATGGTACATTTTCAAACAGCTCAACCTTTTGTTTGGAGCTCACTCTCTTTTCCCGCTCATGTAATTGCTTTCCCTTCTCCCTGAACCCTCTTCCAGAGGCATGCATCAGGTGTGTTTTCTTTGGCTTTGCTCCTCTGCTATCTGCGTTAGATACCTCTCTGTCACTCTCTGACGAGAGAAAGTCATTGTATCCTCTAGGAGCTGCTCTTCTTCCAGAAACCACTGAAGTATCTGAATTTCCTGGAACCGCAGTAGCATCAGTAGCAGTTTGCCTTATCTTATTTCTAGGACATGTGCTATCATTTCTTGACCTGTGCCACCGCTGGCTTTGAAAGTTGCGATTCTTCGAATTTTTACTGGTACCAAAAAATTGGTGAAAGTCTTGACAATTCCCATACTGACTTTCTGGATTACAAAAGCCAGGCTGCTTTGTGGAAGAGCTTTTATAATCTGTACGTCTGTCAGAAGACTGACTAGAAAATGGTAAATCACTTCTATTCTGACTAGAGTCTATCCTATCTTTTTTTACCCAGTTTATATCAGAAGCTTGTCTTTCTCCTGGAATGAAGTCAGCTGCATCAGGATTGAAATTCAATGCACCTAAAAAGTGAAAAAATAAAAACCCAAGTATAAGGCTATTAAACAGCAAACAACTTTTTTCAGTAAAATTATCATACGCATAAGGGCCCAGAAGTTCAATCAATCCCACACTAGATTATTGCAAACAAGTCTCCAGAAACTAGAATTGCATCATAGAGTATTTTGTGCAAGTGCTTCCAAAGAGTGGCAACAGGCAATGCAAGATATGTAGAACAGTGTAATAGGAGTTCATGCACATATAGACATGAAATGGTAAAGGGACAACAGAGGGCAGTTTTGCATAATTATTATTCTGTTATGATGCCATCAACGTGAGCCATGCTTCTGCATGTGAGGTCTCCCTCTCTGATTTCCATGTCTCTAGAGATAGAGGGCGCGCATAGAAAACCCACCTGTCTCAATTCAATATTATTATTATGGGGCCTGTCTACAACAGGAATTATCAGGTGGATATCAGTGAAAGCAGACTGCGGCAGATCTGTTAAACAGTATTGGTTTTTTTTTACAAAAAAGGCTTGTAAAAAGAGAATTACTTCCAGGAGATTTTACATGTTAGGTTACCTCTTTGATGGTAGGGCAGGTGTAGCACATTCCTGGTTCAGGACAATTCAAAGAGAGACTCAAGCACTCAGGTTACAGACAAAAGACATTTCCCAAGAAGAGGCAGAGGCTAAAGCTGTCTGGGCAAGGATCTCTCAACTATCTATTATTTTTCTTTCCCAATAAAGACTGCAGAAGTCAACACTGAAGAAAAGAATAAACCACAATGCTTCAAAGAATTTACAAACCTTTTTCAAAGAATTTCATTTACTTTCAAGAGGCTTTTTTGAATTTTTATACTAATAAGTAATAATCATAATTGCTACATGAGATTGGGTAGCTAAAAAACCCCAAATTATATGACAATTTTGGGGAAATGAACCTTTAAGCAAACTAAAAATCATGAATTTAAGATTAAGTTTAAGGATGTTCTTAACCACATAACCTAATTCATATTTGTTTTTAAAGATGGACTCAGCTGAAGTAATTTTGCTTTCTGTCTTTTCAAATTTACATTAGATAAAAAAAGGAAAAAAACTTTAATATTTTCTTCTTCTTTTTTTTTTTTTAATTCTAATACTAATCAAATTGAGACAATATAATCTGAACATCACACAGAGATCCTTCAAAACAGCTGAGGAATGAATCAAGAATACTACAAACCCCAGTAGAGACAAAACGCGTTATGCTTACACATCTGAAAAGAATACAGACTTCAAGAAGCTTCCCTAAGAGCACTCTGCTTTTCTTCAGGGTGTTTGCACATATATCCTCTGCAAAGAACGGAATATATAAAGTTGCCCTTTTTAACTTGGCTTTCTACAGCTACACCGATCTTCAGTTTTCCGTCCTAATTTTTTGCAAGTTTATTTTCTATCTCTAACAAAGACGACTGCAAAATTACAGCGCAGTTATATTATTATATGTAACATAAATTATTTTCTAAGTATTCTGTACTGAATAACTTCCCATCTCTTGGTTTGAGTTGAGGAGCAGATGAAATCTTGTAATTATACATAAACCTTATTTGAAGCAACCCATTTTACTAAGTTGTTTTGAACTTTCTTTTGTATGGTCTAAAATTTCAAGTCTGATAGACAGACATAACAAGTTAAATTGAATTGCTTTTTAATGGTTAATAAAAATGTTATTCAAAAGTCATACAACTTTCCTCTAAAAAGTATTATTATTTAAAATAATTTTCTTGGTTATGAGAATGTGGTATGTAAAATGAATGCATCGATGATAAACTGCTGCAGAGGGCTTCTGAACAAACGAAATAAATAAGCTTGAATAAATACATTTTGCATATAAGTAAAACATACAATCTTCTACTGACATAAGAAACATACTGGATTTGTCTTCAAAATGTTAATTTTTTAAAATATATAGTCAAGCTGACTTTTGAACACAGCCTCCAAAAAAGCATAATCAATTGTACAAATCTGATAACCATTCAGCTATAAAAGTCATGTATTTCAAAGCATTTTCTAACTAATGTATTAGGTTTGATGAAACAGATGAAAAAAATGAACCTAAATATTTAAAATCACCTCAAAAAATATGAGTAATTCAGTAGGACTCCATGAATGGGATTTATCTTCCTACTGCCAGCTTCTACATTATAAAAAAAGTCCAGAGATCTGATAAATGCTACTAACTGAATTATTTTTGTTTGCCAAAACAAGAAACAGCAGACTACGTATGTGAGACATGCAAATGTGATAATCAGTAGCTAACGCTGGAATAAAATTCCTCTCACATGCTTACATGTGAGACATGCAAATTCCAAGAAAAAGGAAACCTCCAAAGCTGGACTGCAGCACGCATTTCTATGTGATAAACAAAGAAAATCAGAGTACACTATCTACATTTCAGATTTTAAGATACCTAAAAGTTTGACTATAAATTAAAACCAAGCATGTGAAACACTAAAATGGTCTTCTATCCAGTCTGCCATAACATTATATGTTACACTTCTTTAGCAGTAACCGTGGACAGAGCCAGAATATCCTTGCAACCTTATGTAATCTTTGTGAACTATCCTTCAGAAAAATCATTTGGACAAGGATATGTTTTAAAATATGAAGCAAATTAGTAAGTACATGTCTCAATTTGATAAGTACATGTTCTACCTCAAAAATACAGTTTATTTTTGGAGCTAGCAGAGCCATCACACGTAACATCTTAAGTACTCTTTTTATGAGGACATCAGTTATAACATCTGAAGCTACTGCTTACAGATGTCATATGCCTCAGTGACATTTCTTGAATAGTTTCAGCATGCCAAATGCAGTAAGATTTTGAAGAGCTATTAAGCAACATGCTTTAATTAGCCAGAGGAGAGAATATGTGAACTGAAGTTAATGGCAGTCAACCTTCATTCAGTGTTGTATCATCCCATGAGAAAATTAAGAACAAGTACACATATGAAAGTAACTATAACAAAGAAGCCCACCCAGTAAAAACATAACTGGTATGAGAGACTACCTTGTGGACTCCTGGGGGTTGTATATGGCACTTCTCTTTTTACATGAATTCAGCTACTTAGTGGAAATGAGAAGAGATTCTACTTTTGAGTTACTGACGAGGAAAACCAATTGCTCCTGTGCTATCATGGCCACTCTTCTATGGATTTGGTATATACAGTTTTATGAAGCTCCTGGAAGAGGGAGTGAGAGAGGGAAGGGTCACAGGACAATCTATGTTGTCAACAGTAGGAAAACATGCTGTTCAACTCTCAATGCCACCCTTCAAGATCTTCAATGGTTTGGAGAGATGAGCATGGGGGAAAACACTGAACTGAATCTAAAGACAGAGAATACAAAAAGAGAAATTTTTGAAGACCTAGCCATCACTTAAAGCTAGCACATAAGAGGAAAGCTCTGCTCGCTCTGGGGTCACATCAAAAGGTTTCATAAATAGTATTTCTTCCATAATTACCAAAGTGGTTGTCCACCTATTATTGTATTTATTGAACTGTGTCTTCCTAAATTACAGTCAAGTGTAGTACCATGGTTTGTAAGCAGAAATACACACAGTGATCTTGAAGAAAATTAGCGAGTTCAAAATTTAGCAGCTTCACTAGTGCTGATCATCCATCTTTGTATGTTCTGCTTATACACTAGCTCCATTTCAGGACAGATGTCTTGAGTTTGCAAGCCATTCAAATAACCCATTCTTTCAGCTAAAGACAGATGACAGTACAGAGTGTGTACACATTAATCCATCTGTGTTAGCACTGCACATATCAAAACAACTAACAGTCACATCAGCTGAACACAAAGCAAACTACAAGGAAGACACTCCCTATAAATCTTAGGGGTACATGCATCACAATGTACCAACGGAAACAGGAGCGGCACGTGATGCAAACGCGAAGCTTTCCCATGGCATCGGAAGCAATAAACTACTTCTTCACAGAACACCAACCTTAATCCACGTGTCTTCTCTGGCCATTTTTGTATAACAAATATTCACCTATGGTTTTCTATGATTTTCACGTTCAACACAGATTTACAAAAGGTTGGATTTCTTCCTCGACATGAGTCTCACTCTTCCACACAAAGACAGGTTGCACTGCTGATTCTTTAGGCCTGAAACAATCTGCCTGCCTGTTTATTCCAACTGTAACAGCTCATGTAATAAAAGAAACGCTCCCTTTCTGCAACTCTTGTCAGAAGTTATTAAAGAAGGAATAACAAACAGAACCATCATCATGTTACTGTCCAAATCCAGCACACCTATAATGTGAATAAAGCATGAAGTTTTGGCAAGCCCATTTCAAGAGGACATCAGAGAAATATGAGGTATGGATAAGAAATACAGATTCACCAGAAGTAGCTTCATCAGCTGGACATGAAGTACCTACTACAGAATGGATTTTGCATAAGGAAACTAAATGTAACACGCATCTTCCTTTTCCTGCTCATCCTTGCAGTAGGGCGGTCAGTGCTTTACAGCAGCTCCCCGATACCTTCATGCATCATGCCCAATGCTGCATTGCATGCGAAACACAGAACCCAGTTACTAACAGCACTGTGGAGGAAAAAAAACATAACCACATTCAGAAGCAACAACAACTGACAGAAGAAAGGTCAACTCGCAGCTGTTAAATGCAAATATAGCCTCTCACTTGGGGTGTCCCCTCTAAATGTACCAGGCTGGAAAGGTATACCTAGGTGAATAATAATTCTGTAATTGCCGTATTTCTCTTATTCTTCTCTTGGGTATCAATAGCTATTACACTATTAGCAAAATATCCTGGACAAGCTGTACATCTGCAATGGTCCAAAACAGCCATTCTTAGATCTCAACCGCTTCCCCTTACCTATTCTGTGACCAGAAATATCTTTCATGCTGAGGCTCTCAAAATCATAAACCCGCTCTGTCCATGAATTTGAAGGGCAAAAGCTAGTCCCAACCCTAACATAGCACAAGCACAGATTCAAACTTACCTA